CTGCGAAGGGGGCTCAGAAGAGGACGCATGAGGTAGAGGAGGCGGAGGAGGAGAGGTAGACTTCCCCGGGAGTTGACGGTCGGCGGATTCGGCCGGAGCGTCGACGACATCGGCCATTGGAGAAGCCGATGGAACCCTAATGGATGGATTAGGATGCTCTTTTTTTCGTCTTCTTCAAGAAAATAAGCGAAGCTGGAGAAATGGAAAATGGATTAATTAAGCCCTTTTGTTTTCCATTTCCCGGTCGAAATTAGTTATACTGTAGCCCAATTTAGGCCCAATAACTTAAATGGGCCAACTAAAGGCTCAAATAATTGTGAGCAGTTTGATTCTATGGGCTATTTTGGGCCGAAGATTTAATACAATCTTTTGCTAATAGTTTTGGATAATTAATTAATAAAGTATAAATAATTTGTGCCGCAAAAATATAAATACATGTGTGTGTGTGTATATAAACTAAGATACAAGATGAGGATTAATGGGAACACCTCGTCATCCAAAAAACTAAGATACACTTAAAACATGCAAAGATAGACATCATATAAAGTAGATTTTGTTTATATTACAAATTATGCATAATTTTCTAAATACACCCATTATTATTAAAGGTTAATCACCTCATGCGTCTATCTTCTCTCCATATCATTTTCATTTTAATCAGAATTTTTTATTATCATTTATAATCTTTTAGATAAATTTGAATTCATCTTATATTTGTCTTTTACCTTCTTGTGTTTATTTTCAATCTTCTATTAAAAAAAAAACGCAACAATCACATACACAAAACTTCCAACGGTAGCACGTTTGATTGTTCCCAAGTTTCCTATTCCTATAATGAGACACTTGACATCGTCCACTTCTCATCTATGCATATATCAAATCATAATCATCATGTAAAAGAAATAGAGGATACCACAAATCAATTTCTACATATATCAAATCATAATAATCATCATGTGAATGAATAGAGAAAACAAACATTTCTATATATATCGAAATCTTTTGTGTTGTAAATGTAAATTGATTCAAAGAAAAAAAAAAGAATTATCCGGAAGTATTTATCTTTATTTTTAATATCTGAAAAGTGGTGGTAAAAGAATTATCCGGAAGTATTTATCTTTATTTCTATATATATCGAATCTGCAGGGAGATATAGGTTGGACCGATGACCCAGGTGAACTTCCTGGTTTAACAAAAAAAACAAAAAAAAAGATGTTTTTTTTATGACAAAACGGAATATTGCATATGCTTCAAACATAAAGAGAAGAGAAACAAAAAAAAATTAAAAAAAGGAGAAAAGATTCTCGTCGGTCTTTTTTATATTTGTCCCATATTTTAGTATTTTTATTTTTGGAATCTCCACCCTTTTTGTGTACTTTTATTTTAGTCCTAAATAAAAATATACATATTTCCACAGAAATATTATATATCAATTTTTTACCAAATAAAAATTATATATCAATCTTCATATTATTATAAATTATTCGCTTTATTTTACTTTAGTAAGCTGGTCTCAGATTGTTCTGTCTTAATAAACGAATCTGATCTGATAATGCATGAGATTATAGTACATGCATGCATGAGCGTTTCGAACCTCACTTTGGTCAACAACATTATCATATAATATATTCATTTATAAATAAATGAATTCGAATAATCACGCGTTTATTTTTTTTTAAAGAAAAGTAGCAGCAGTAAAAAAAAATGAACGTGTGGCTCCCAACTCCTATATGGTTTCACCGTGAAACAATTCTTACCAAAAGTTCTCATATATCCGATATCAGACAATCGACTATAGAATTACCAAAATGTGAATACAAATATGTCACATGATGATGTCGGCGGTATATCTCGAATTCGGACCCGTGTTTTCTCTGGGTTTGCCTGAAATATATTGATTGATTTAGGACAAGGGAGGGAGTTAAGCTCAGATCTATGGCCTGCAACTGCAGGCATCGCATCAGCTGCAAGTGTAGCTGTGTTTACTGAAGAAAACCTTTGAATTAAAGGAAGAGAGATTCCAAAACATATATAGAAAGGTTAGGCATCAGAGAGACCAGACAGAAGAACGGTGAAAGTCAGCTGTAGGAAGATATGGGAAAAGGGGTAGCGGTAAAAAGGAAATTAAGACGGGAGTCCACAAATTGAATGATCCTCTCTGTCCTTGTACCAAAGAATGCTTTTTGCATGACGAAACTGCCTACCCATTTGCTCTCTCTCCCTCTCTCTGATCAGATTCGCCTCTCTCTACCCATCTGGTCGCTGCTGAGTCATCTCGTTCTCTCTCTCGTGCCCTTTCGAGGCACTGATACCGTTTTTGTTCTTGGTCCTCTCTCTCGTGTAACTCCAAGCTTCTCCACGGGGGAACTTCTCTTGAATTCTGGGTCGTTTTTCGTTTATCGCCATCTCTCTGGTAATCGCTGTTTCTTGCTATCTGTATATGGTTCTTCGTTCTGTTCTTATTCTGGGTCTTCTGGGCTTCTTCTGGAATTCGGATTCGTGTAGGAAAGTCGCTATATTTGGGGAATTTTTCTTAGGTTCCTGTCTCGTAGATGATGGAAGTGCAACTTGTTTTTTTTTTCCTTTCATTTAATTTTGTGTCCCTTGTTCTTGGTTATGGAATCTCTCTAGTTCCGGTGTCACTGTCTGCGTTGATCCTGTGGCTGTGTTTTAGTGGCTTGTTCTATATTTTGATTCAAAGCTGCTAGATTTGTTCAACCGGTTTGGTTTCTGTCCGTATGGCGATTCATCTGGAAGCAGTCTAGGACATGTTCTCTGCATAGTCCTCTTTGTTCCTGAGGAAGTTCTGCCCTTTTGATTTAGGGATTTCTGGGTTTGTTCTACAGTTTTGAACAATGTAGAAGAATGACTAGATTTAGGAAATTGTTTGGATTTCACGGATTGGTGGGTGGGGTTATGCCATTTTTCTGTAATCACAATCACAATGGGTCTCTTCCGAAATTTTTCTATTGCCATTACAAGTTACTCCCTTTTAGTTCATCTGTTTGGTATTAGGGATTTCATATTGATGGAGCTGTGAACTGATGTTTCGATTCTTCTTCTATAGATCCTATCATTCGGATATTCATATCTGTTTCTGCCGATATTTCTATTGTTTCTTATTGATCACTTCATAATATTTCTGCCTCTGTCAGTGCCTCAGATCAATCTAGTCCATGTTCCTTTGGAACCTAAACTACCTGACATTGTTCTTCATTGGGGGATCATAATATCCTTGGATGATTGAGTTTTAGGACTGGAGGGTCTGGTCATGTCTAGTTAACAACATTTATCATATCTCACAATTTCACGGATGTGTTGTCGTCGGTTTTCCAAGCCGAATGATTTCTTTTTTACCGAGCAATCATGAAGATCTTTCAAGTCACGCTCCCGGTTTTCCTTCTTGTTAAGACATGCAAACTGACATTGTCGATCTTCTGTATTAATTTACGCGTTCTTTTGGTAAGAAAATTGAAGATATTCAAGGCCTTGTTTGGCTGTTACTTTCCGAGCAACACATTTAGAAAACAGTTTTGAGATGTTTCCGATCCTCTTCGTTGCATACTTAGTGTATAGGTTGTTTTCTTGTTTCTTATTTGAACATGAGTTCATCACTAGTTTCTCCATAAAAAGATAAAAGAGAGGAAAGAATCATGATTTCCCAGTAGCTAGGGTTGTTTTGTAAGGCTTTCCGTCAAAGTTGTGGGAGCTGATTTCGTTTTTTTCATATATTCTTGTTAGATTTCTTGTTTTACTAATATGGAATAATATGGCTGCAGGTCGGAGCTCGTAGTCCTAACTTGTTGGATGTAAACTGTCTGTCAATACTAGGGGAATGGGTGCGTCAACTTCTAGAATAGATGAAGACAAGGCTTTGCAGCTGTGTCGTGAGAGGAAAAAGTATGTTCGGCAAGCACTCGATGGAAGATGCTCATTAGCTGCTGCTCACGTTTCGTACGTTCAGTCTCTTAAAAATACTGGGACAGGCCTCAGAAGATTTGCCGAGACTGAACTTCTGGTTGAATATTCTTCCTTGTACACATCTACCAGTGCAACCTCTGAACCTCTGGCTTTAACTGAGAAGCCGGTTTCTCATTTGTCATACTCTCCCCCGACAGCTTCACATTTTCGCGAAACGTCCTCTCCTTCTCCGTCACCACCCCCTCCTGGTTCCGGCCAATTCCATGTAAACCATACGAAGTTTCGGGGATTTTCTTCGAGAAAAATGGAAGAGAAACCTCCCGTTACTGTTGTTGCCACTGTGACCTCATCTAGAATCCCGGAAAGTACTACACCAAGGTCTATAGGAAAGATGGAATTGAGCCAATTCGAAGAGTCCTCTTCCATACCGCCTGAAACACCTCCTTGGGACTTTTTTGGTCTTTCCCACCCACTCGACTACCAATTTACTTCTTCCCGGGATGGAAAAGAAACAGTCTCCAGAATGTTTGAGAATGGTGATGAGCTGAGACGCCTTAGAGAAGAAGAAGAAGAAGAAGGAATTCCGGAGGTGGAAGATGGTGAAAAGGGGTCTTTTCATGAAAAGGAAGATTCCAGGGAGTCAGATGATGATGAATTCGATGAGCCCTCAGCCGATATGCTGGTTAGAAGCTTTGAAAACTTCAATAGGATGCATGATCACAATGCATCAGGTCCTTTACCTGAAAAGGAAGAATCAGAAGGCGAATTCTCAGATGAAGAGAAAAATAAGACTCCCGATTTATCGCCATCTGTAACACCTTCAGCAGCTTCTCGTGTCCTCACTGAGCCGAGCAAAACACCCACCAAAGGAGATCCCACGAAGAACAAGCTTCCGAAGAGGGACTTTTTGTCAAGCATGAAAGAGATAGAGTCGCTCTTCATAAAGGCATCGGAATCTGGGAAAGAGGTTCCTCGGATGCTTGAAGCCAATAAATTGCATTTTCGCCCGATATTTCCAGCTAAAGAAAGTAATATCTTTCTCCTGAAAACGTATTTTCACACACATGCATGCAAAATGTCTAACCATACATCTCTGCTTTGCCAGGTGAATCTGGTGCATCATCACTAATGAAATCATGCTTCTCTTGTGGGGAAGACCCTAAGCATGTTCAAGAAGGTAGTTCTATTATTTATTTTTTTTCCATTTTCAGATCGATATCGTGCCTGTTTTGTATAGATTCTAAGTGAGACACTCTCTCCGCTTTTTTATGCAGAGCCTGCTCAGAACTCGATGAAATACTTGACCTGGCACAGAACAGAATCTTCCCGATCATCAGCTTCGAGGAATCCTCTCGGAGGATTGAATTCCGATGATGTCGAGGAACTTAATAGTAATCTCTTTGAGAACATTTGCTTGATTGCTGGTAGCCACGCTTCAACCCTAGACAGGCTATATGCATGGGAGAGGAAGCTCTATGACGAAGTTAAGGTACTGTTATCAGTTCCTTGAATAGATTTGACCACGTCAGTTATCAACATTCTCGTTCTTATTCTTATCAGTTTCTCGGTATTTTTTACTTCTCTTGGTCATGTTAACATGCTTTCATCATCATGATCAATATTGTCTATAAGTAGTTATGTTATATAAAAGCATCGAAAGGATCTTGCCGCCGGTATTGCTTTTTCTAGACAAGAAATTCAGCTCGGTATCGATACCATCACACACTAACCAGTGAATCCCGTAAACCTCAGGATATTGATATTGTGTATTGTTTGTTGTTTCGGGTTCAGGCCAGTCAGACGGTGCGGAGGGAGTATGACGAAAAGTGCAAAATTTTGAGAGAGCTCGAATCAGAAGGGAGGGGTTCACATAAAGTCGACAAGACTCGTGCTGTTGTCAAAGACCTTCACTCCAGAATCAGAGTTGCCATTCATAGAATTGACTCGATTTCAAGGCGGATTGAGGAACTACGTGACAAGGAGCTCCAGCCTCAGCTGGAGGAATTGATTGAAGGGTTTGTGTTCTTTACCCAGAAAAAATCATTCTTTTGATCTAAAGTTTCCATCTTTTGAGGATTTTCTTGGGATTTGAACGAAGGGTAATCTCTTCTTTTCCAAGAAAAAACCTTTCTTTTTCACTTTTGAATCCCAAGTTTCTATCTTTCGAGGGTACTATTGAGCTGAAACTAAGATTCATCTTTTCCCTTGTTGTCATGATGATGAACAGGTTGAGTCGAATGTGGGAAGTGATGTTGGAGTGTCACAAGCTTCAGTCTCGTATAATCTCGGAGTGTTACAGGAATGGCAGCATCAAACTCAACATGCAATCAGAGTTTCACCGAGAAATCATGTCTTACCTCGAGGACGAACTCAGTGGAATGGCCTCGAGTTTCACCAAATGGATCGCTGCCCAGACATCATATATCCAAGCCATAGACAACTGGCTTGTCAAATGTGTCACCCTCCCGCAAAGATCCTCCAAACCCAAAAGGCTCACCCGACAACCGTCTCTTAAAGACTTCGGCCCTCCCATTTACGCGACCTGCAGCATCTGGCTACAAAAGCTCAAAGATCTGCCGACCAAAGAAGTATCAAATTCAATGAAGGCACTGGCTTTTGATGTTGCCCGGCTCTTACCACGACAAGAAAAGAACCTGACCAAGAAGACGGGTCATCCACACGCCGGCGAGAACGGAAATGATCTGACGGCTAATATGCTACGAGACGAAGCATTGGATGATTGTGGTTCCGGGTTTGATCGGTTTCGGACAAGCTTGGAAGGGTTTCTAGGACAACTTAACCAGTTTGCAGAATCATCTGTGAAAATGTGTGAAGAACTGAAGCAGAACATCTGCAACGCCAGGAGCAAGTATGAGCAGTTGATGTCGTATTCCCGGGTTAGCCAATTCCGAGAAAATGCGGGAAAATGAACTTCATCACGGCGAGAAAACCTCGAATAAGAATCCGATTTTTAGAAATGGATTTGGCATTTGTAAATGCAGAGGGAGATGGGGTTTAAAAGTCACAAGAGGGATTGCTTTCAGACATGAAGGAAGAAGAAGAAAACTGTTATACAAAGTTTGTGCCTCTGTGGGATGATATTTGTGTGTTGGCTTCTTTTTTCCACAATATTGATATAAATATATGTTACCATTTTTTTAATAAACTCAAGAGTTAATTATCTTATATCATATGTATGTATATTTATAATATCATTATCAATGAAAATTTTAATCACGATTAAATCCAAATAAATCTCAATATTAAAATATTAAAAATTATTAGATTCATTATTCTATCATTCCAATCCTAATTTTAAAATATATTTATAATATTCAAATATTATTAGTACAAATATATTTTATATTGAGTTGAAAATATATAAACTAATTAAAAAAAATAAGGCGCCAGTCGTGTATTAGGAGTTGACAATTTCAATTTGGAAGAATTACGTGATGATCTCCCACAAATAAAATATTATACTGTGAAGCCTTAGATATTGTAGTCATTAAAAAAATAATTTTGTTTCGAGCAGAAAAAAAAAAACTGAGTCTAATTAATATCATAGAAAGTTGAACTTATAGTATATGTTACGATCACATACATACAGACCGCTTCAAACGTTGAATGTTACAAAATTTGGGTAGGAAATTAGTTCTTAATTCTTTACCTCATTCTCAAACCTAAAACCTTCTTATATGCATATACAATTGAAATTATGTTCAATAAACTATTATTTATATACATGCTTCTAATTTTAATATCCCTTGTTTTTTTTATTATTATTCTTATTTAAAAATGAATTATAGATTTAAAAAATTCTAATTCTAAATATGTGAGAATTCCATGAAAATGTATGCATATATATATATATATATAAGTTGAAATTGATCAAATGTTATTCCTATGTGTACTAATGCCGGATCAATTTGCTTACGAAAGGATCTCTATTGTTATATTATTTGAAAAAAATGTCACTTTTTTCCGACCTATATTCTATTACATCCGTTAGGATTTAGGAGAATGTATTATTGTTGATATTAAAGACAAAAATAATAACCATGCGGTATCCGTCGAAATATTGAAATATAAAATTATTATTTTTATCTAGAGTTTCTTACTAAATAAAATAAAATGATTTCCATTTACAACAAAATAGCTGAACCATATATAGTGTCATAATAAAGTATGGAATTTAAAAGTTACAGTGGCTAATGAATCTCCTGATTTTTTTTCCAATCATTTAGGATTCTTTTATATTGATTTTCACAATCTTAATGCCGAAATAATTAACAAAATAGAACAAAAATTCATTTTCGTCATTTGCCGTATGGTTTTTTCGGTTCTAACCTTCTCAAATATTCCAATTCCATATGTTTTTTTTAAAAGTATAGACATTTTCTTTTTCTTTTCTTGTATTATTATATTATTTTTTTACGTTAAAAAGATACACGTTAAAAGTATATAGACATTTTCTTTTTCTTTGTCTATTACAACTCAAATTTCGATAGTTCAACCGGTAAAAAGATACACATAAAATTTCTTTCTCCGAATTCAAATTTTAAATTTAAAGAAGAGATATATATTACAAATCACTTGGATGATCTCTATCCTTTATATTAATCTGGACTTTAGTGTGAAAATGATTAGTTATAAGTTTGTTTAAATATAAAGTAAAATAGAATCAAACTAAAATCAGATTCTCAAAAATAAATAGAAAGTTAATGAAACGAGTTTTCAAGACCAAAAACAACAACGAATAATATCCACTCTTACTCAGCCATTTATTATCTATTTCTTTTATTTTCTTGATATATATATATATATATATATTAGTTTTATTTTTATCATAAAGTTGAATAATTGTGTCAGAACTTTGAAGTATGAAAACTTAAGACATGTATGAAATTCGAAAATTTTAATGAAGATATAAGTGAACTAACTGTAATAGAAGAGTTATAAATTATATGTCTAATGTCTAACCAATCTATGTTTGTTTAATTTTGATTAATAATAAAAAAAATTTGATTTACTACTAACTCTCAGAAAATGATTCTTGGTTTATGTCATGGTCCAGATTTCACCTTCTACATATGAAAAATTCAACCATGCCAACAACAACCAATACAATCAATAAATTATTTGTAAGAAGCATATTCTCATGTTACCGGGAAAAAGAAAAAAACTGAACTCGTTTTTTTTTTCTGAAAAAAAGAAAAGTTACCGTTCACTCACAATTTCACAAAGTTCTCAATAACAAAAAATGATAAAAAAAAAAAAATCCATGTCAAGAACATAATACAAATACACTGTAAAAAATCCTACAACCAAACAGCCCCTGTACTCTTTTTTTATTTTTTATTTTTATTTTATATTTTCCCCTTTTTAAAAGACGTTTTTTCATCACCAAAAATCCACGTCCTGACTGCACTTCGTCGACACAATCCTTGACGCCGTCGTCAGTTTGTCCACCGTTAATTCACAGTTCACTTTAACGGAAACCGTCCATGACTTGACGGAACCCACCTTAATCCTAACAGGCACTTTGATCTTCAGCTTAAACGGCACCGTTTTCTTGCTCTGCCGGTCTCTCAACTCCTTGCGCATAGAACTCGTCAGCTGAATCTTCGCTCCCGTTAACGCCGTCTTAAACACCGTTACGTTATTTGTCGGCTGGTAAAACACCGGTAACGCGCCGTTACAGAGATCGAGATCGTTGTAGTAAACGTCGACGGAGCTCCCTTTCTCGTAGTAGATCCCGATCTTTCCGTTACCGTTACGTGATCTGACGGTGACGTCGAATCTCGGCGAAATCGGGGATGTTGACGTCACGTTGAAGCCTGAGATCGAGACTCCTTCGACGGAATACCGCGGCGATTCGGGGCGGTAGACGAGGTACAGCACAGCAGCGGAGATCCCGGCAAGGACGGCGAGGGTGATAATTCCGGCGAGGAAGGAGCAGAAGCAGCAGCGGCAGCGATTGCGATTCGGTTTTTTCCGGGAGAGGTATTGGAAGCGATGAGCGTTCTCAGGCGGCGGAATGCGGTAGATCTGATCCTTGGGGACTTGGATGACGTAGGTTCCCGGCGGAGGAGAAGGTTTTCTCGGGAACTCTCCGGAGCTGAATTGGCCCGAAAATTGGCCGGAGGCGACGCTCTCAGATGGCGAATCAGCGGGATGGATTCGCTCCGCCATTGGAGATAGAAGAATCAGAGCTCGAAGAGTTGCTGCAAAATTTTGAATGTAATGATTATCGAAAAGAAAAAAAAAATGAAATCTGATTTTGCAACCCCCGAAAAAAGGGAAATCAGTGAATGTAAGAAACGGAATCAGATATGAGCGCTTATGTGGAGAAGCATTTATATGAAGGCCTGAGATGGAACTCGCAATACCGCGTAGAAAAAGTGTGAAGGCACGCGCTGCAACTGTGGGGACCACATAAAATCTTTGATTTTGTTTTCCCCATAATTGTATATTTTTTATTAATTAAGATGGAAAAAAAGAAATCCGTAAATTAAGACGTGATTGCATGCATTTGCCCAACAAAAGAATATTATATATATATATATATATATATATATATATATATATATATATATATATATTTTTAAGATGTTTTTGTTGTAATTTCGATTGTCCTGTAGAAAATAAGTTGAAGCGGCGCGGCAAACGGGAGGAGAGGACTCAGTCGGCAATGGCAGAGGCAGAGAGGAGAGGAGAGATTACTCGATGTGGATTAAACCAAACCCTAATTAACCTAATTTTTTTTAATTCGGTTTAATTGGATAACCGAAACCGATCGGTTATTTACCCGAACCGAACCGATCCGATCGGTTATAAGATTATATTAACCGATCGGATATTTTGTCAAAACCCGAACCGATCCGAAACCCGATTAACCGGGTCGGTTTTACCCGAATCCGATTAACCCGATCCGAATGCCCACCCCTAATCCTCATGTTACGATATTGGAATATCATTGTCCTGTAGAAAATAATCATCAGTATGGGATTTGGAGTATTAAACGTGAACTTACACAAATTTCACAAACCCATAAAACATATGTCAAAAAATTATTTTGCAAAATCATTTTAAATTAAAAAAATGTGCAATAAATCCACAGTATGAGTTTCAAAAAAAAAATCCACAGTATGACGAGTACGCAAATTTCCTACCAAATTTATATTTCCAAAATACATCGTACATCAATGTAAATATTTAATAAAACACTATTCTAAGATATCTATTTTCGTGAATGTAATAGTAGATATACAAAAAGAAAAGTTGAAAATTTTTCGGCTATGAAATGAATAATAAAAGAAGGTTTAAAAAGTCACGTATACCGTTGGAATATAACGTATCAAATATAAATTTGATGCGGAGCAAATTTTATAATAATACTAATGGAAAACAAATGTTATTTTAAACGGTGCATTACGTGTGCGCGAGTAAGATAAGAACCACAAGTTTTTTTTTTTGCTGAAATAATATGCACAAGCTAAAGAATATATATATATATATATAACGCGGTGGCTTTATCGCACATGATACATATAAACACTTGAAAATAATGTAATAACATAATAATAATAAAAATATTTAAAATTGATAAATCTTTTATATATAAATTTCTTACCACCGTTGTAGATTTAGATCATTTTTTTTTCAAGTCTTTTACTTGACAAAATCTAAACACCGGGGTAGAGTCAATAAATTTATAAACCCGTGACACCGTGTACATAAATATACACAAATATATGCATACATATATATACCGGACCTAGAGTGGATGAAGCCGGACCGAAGTCCCGGAAATGATCTGATTATAAAAAAAAACGCACACATGTATAAATACAATACTTATGTATGTATCTGTATAATACGCGGGAGTACATGGAGGAGATATTGGCGCAAGATTGTGGTATGCACGTTAGGCATGCATCATATACAAAATAGAGATTTATTTATTTTTATTTCTTATAATTACGTTTTTTATTTGGAATTTTTAAAAAAATTTAATTTGAATTTGATGAAGAAAAAAAAAACTATCAATCAATCATACACAGATACGCACACAAACACAAACCAGGAATCTATATAATAAACCATAAATTGTTTTTTTTGGGTAAATAACAAACCATAAATTGTTTATTTGATATTTTTTAAAAACCGGAGTTTCTAATGAATGAAGACAGAACAGTTTGCGTTTTCTTAACCATGGAAGTGAAAGTTCATCAACGGAGTAAATAATGCTAAAATCTATGTGTATATGTGTATATATACGTTTACTTTTACGAAGGACTTAGTCTTTTATGTCCATAATTTGGGTACGTATATGATTCATGATGCCATTGGCCTTGCATTTTAAATATTAAAAAACAAGTAAAATAATGCATAGCAAGTTTTTGTTCATAAACCCAGAAAATGAATTGTAATATTGATAAGTAAATTTTTTTTGGGACCTTTTCGGTGTCAAAAATTAATTTCTGTTATGTATAAAAAAACCCAATATCAGGTTTCGTAAAAAAAAAATTATACAAGAGAGAAAAAATTCAGACTTTTTTCATTTTCCAATTTTATCTACTTTATTTTTTTTGTTTTTTTTTTGTTAAAGATAATTTTTTATAAATGGCATTCTTGCCGATTTTATACCTACTTTCCCCTATTTTCTCCAAAATTAAAATTATAAAAGACACATAATACAGAAACATAGAAAATATTAACGAAAAAAAAGCATAATTTAAAAACAATACACATAAACTGAGACGTAAAGAACACATACCACAGAGAGAGAAGATAAACTGATCGGCCTCTAAATTTGTCTTCCTCTTCCTCTCTATCTCTGAGGAGAGAAAGTCGAGGCCCTCGAGAGAAAATGCAAGAAAATATAAATGGCCCTTGACGACTTATAGTAAATACATACATGCATACATATATACATACATGTATATGTATATGCTAATATGTATTTATTGTTATTATTTATTAGGTTACTAAACGATGGAGTGACAGTTCATGTTTGGGGAAAAAATTAATTAAAAAATCTAAGGTTTTTTTTTGTTTAGGGTGAATATTTCCTATTTTCTAACTCAGAATTTTTTCAGTTTTAAAAAATGCTTATGCCTATTCGATTTTACATAGTTTTTTTGTTTAATTTAAATTTCATTCCATTAATTTGGTTTATAATACTCCCTCCGTTTCAAAAAAAATAATTATTGTTTTAGATTATTTCATATTTTTTTAAAAAATAGAGAAAAAGTCACATATATATATATATTCTTATTTAATAATAAAAATAATGTTATCATTAATAATTTATTAGAATTTGATAGGAATAAAATTGGAAACTATTGTAAAAAAATGTATTGAAAATGTAAAATGATAAATATTTTGAAATATGGAAAATAACCTAAAACTATAAGTATTTTGAAATGGAGGGACTATATCTCATTAAAAATATTTTTTTTCTTAAAACAAAAGTCTTCAAAACGATTAACCCTACAAATAAGTAAAACAATAAAGAACACAACAAAGGATTACGATTCAACATAAATGCAGTTTTAAAGAGCAACATGGTGTAAATGAACCGAAATAAGTACTGTTGGCATTTTGATATATATTACTCAAAGACAATAAATGGTATATTAATTTTATTCTGATCTCATAATTTTATTTCAATAGAAAGAAATTGAGAATATCCCAAAATAATACCTCAACTTTTCAATCTTCACAAGATAAAATCTAAACTTTGTTTTTTATCAAATAAAATCATAACTTCATTTTTCAGTAAAAAATAAACCTGATTTTTAAAATTTTTGTCATTTTTAATCCTATTGTTAATGTAGTGTTCCGACATCCTACGTGGAAAGTCAACACTTTTGACACTATCCTTACCATACATCTTGTCAAAACAATAAGTTACAAAACTCATCTTACTCCTTGGATCAAATACATAAGCTATGATCAATAACTTATTGATCTTTTCCGTCTCATCCCAATATTTATCAAACTTTAATCTCATTATCTTGGCCATCTTACTCATTTCATGATCGGGATTATTTGCCAAGGAAGACAAAACTGTTTCAACCTTTATAATCTCATTGTAGCAGGAAGTGGAAGTTACCTTTGTAGTTGCAGAAAATGCCAAAGTCGAGTCATAAAAAATCTTCAAGAAGCATACCAGTCGATGAGTATTTTTCCAATCATTTTCTGAAGGAGGACCAAGCCTTTTTTTCCCGATTATGGAATCATCATCTTCGCCAAAATAGTCCTCATAAAGCTTATCTTCCATTTCCATTCGTTTAAACGCATCTCTGTACTTCAAAGCGGAAGATAACATTAGGAAAGTCGAGTTCCAACGTGTCGCACAATCCAAAACCAAACTTCCTCTATTAAAGTTGCCCCCTCCAACTCGACTTTTAAAAGCTTGCAATCTTGAATCAGATGACCTTATATACTTCACAGCATTACGAATACTCGTTACGCTGTCACCCATATCAGACAACCCATCCTTGACAATCAAATTCAAAACATGTGTCCCGCAATGCAAATGCATGAAATCACCATTCAACACAAGAGTATCTGCATTCCAAGCACCCAATCTATTCTTCAAAAACTTTAAAGCATAGTCATTTGCACTAGCACTGTCCACGGTAATGGTAAAAACCTTCTCAATACCCCAATCCATCAAACATTTCACAAATTCTCTTGCAATGGTCTCCCCCTTATGATTTGATATAGGACTGAAACTAATAATTTTTCTGTACAAACGCCAATTTCTATCGATAAAATGAGCAGTAATAACCATATAACTCATTGTTGTTATTGAAGTCCAAATATCCGTCGTAAAAGACACCCTCTGCTTGTTCTCATTCAACATGTTCTTCAAACATACTTTCTCATTCAAGAATAACTGGTAGATTTCTCTTGTCATTGTTCTTCTTGAAGGAATCACAAACGAAGGCAATGCAACGTTACAAAAATGTCTAAATCCAGCTCCATCAACAAATGCAAAAGACAATTCGTCCATTATGATCATCCTAACCAAAGCTCTTTTGCATGCCTCTTGACTAAACCCAACAGCAATAAGTTTAGAAGATCCTACTGCAGAATGATCTTTGGTTAAAATTTGTTGAGACCCACTTTCAGAGAGATTCTGGTATACCTTGCATGTCTTTTGAATATGATTTCTCAAACTGCTTGTACCCATTGATGAACATCCCGTTAATACAACACCACAATAATTGCAAGAGCACTTCTTTGGATTATCGGAAAGCTTGGTAAAATGATTCCATACATTCGATCTTGCAGGAACTATCCTCTTTCCTTTCGGAGGTAACTGTGAATTTGAAGCCGGTTCTTTCCTTTTATCACCAACCGATTCTCCGACCTTAACTAATTCTGAATTTTGATTTTCCATCTGTTAAAATTAACATACAAATGATACGTTTATACACAAATAAAAAAAAATATACGATTCTCCGGCTTGTATACATACACGAATACACACACACATAGAACACACACACATACATGAATGGACTGGACCGTTTATTAAAATCAGAAGAGAGGGACTTCAGCTGGGTTACCAATCAAAATTCACGAATACACGCACATACACGAATACACGCACATACATACACGAATGCACACACACACATACAAGAATACACACACACGGATACACACACATACAGGAATACACACACATACATACAGGAATACACACACACACGTACACACGAATACACACACATACACGAATACTCGCACATACATACACGAATGCACACACACACACATACAAGAATACACACACACACGGATACACACACATACACGGATACACACACATGCACCGATACGCCACCAACCGAGCCATAATCTCTCGCCGCTGGTATACATACACGAATACACACACACATACACGAATACACACACACACACACACATCGTACCTCTCTGGCTTTCGAGTTTCGACCTCTGTTACGGAATAATCAGGGAGAGAGCTTCGCAACCTGCAAAGAACAAAACATATGACACTGAGAGAGAGAGAGAGGAAACCGACGACGACAGATGCAGAGAGAGAGATGAGCGATTTCAGATAGTTAGAGAGAGAAGAGACCGGAGGGGACAACTGAAGCGGCGAACGGGAAAGAAGCAGAGGTTTGCTTCAGTCGACGCAGACCTTGGGTTCGGCCGGAGGGGACTGTTGAAGCGGCGCGGCGAACGGGAGGAGAGGACTCAGTCGGCAATGGCAGAGGCAGAGAGGAGATGAGAGATTACTCGATGTGGATTAAACCAAACCCTAATTAACCTATTTTTTTAATTCGGTTTAATTGGATAACCGAAACCGATCGGTTATTTACCCGAACCGAACCGATCCGATCGGTTATAAGATTATATTAACCGATCGGATATTTTGTCAAAACCCGAACCGATCCGAAACCCGATTAACCGGGTCGGTTTTACCCGAATCCGATTAACCCGATCCGAATGCCCACCCCTAATCCTCATGTTACGATATTGGAATATCACGTCAGTAATAGAGTTAAAAATAAAAAAGATTTTAAAGTTCAGGTTTATTTTTGACTGAAAAATGAAATTATGATTTTATTGATAAAAAATAAAATTTAGGTTTTATTTTTCGAAAATTGAAAAATTCAGGTATTATTTTAGCATTTAGGAAACAATTGCTATCAATGGTAAAAACAATGGGTTTGTCATAATTTACAACAAACACATAAATATGACAATAGCTAGGGGTGGGTATGTGGTTCGACTACTTCGTTTATTATTAATCGAATCAAATTGCATAATCGAAACGAATCAAATAAAAAAATTTCAGTTTATTAATCGAACCGAATCGAATAATCGATTGATTATAATTTTTTATAACTCGAAAATACCGAATTTAAATCGAATTGATTAAAATTTAATAACCGATTGAGAATAAAAACTCAAAACCCGAAATAACGATACCCAAACTGAATCGAATTTGATTGTTTATACATCTCATATATATATATATATATATATATATATATCATAATTTAATCATTGTTTTATTATTTTTTATTATTTTATTATTAAATTATTATTTTTAAAGTTTGTTCGATATTTACGTATGATGTTTTTTTATTTTGTTGTTTTTTATGTCACATAAATTTAGATTTTTTGTTTTATATATTAAGATGATTATTTTATATTATATTTTGTTTGGATATTCTCCTACTATAAACGAATCGAATATTTATTTGGTTCTAATTTTGTACAATTCTAAATAGACAAAATTGAAACCGAAAGGAACCAAATGGAATAAAATGTAATAACCATTTGGTATAGCCAACCCAAATTAACAGTAACCTAACCATTTGCCCATCCCTAGAAATAGCAAGTTAGAGAACCTTCTTGCTCATTCGGAAGCTTTCACATGTGAGGTAATATGCTTGAAAGCTCTTCAAACACTGTCTTCATATCCGGCCTCTCTGGCGCCGGTAAAATGCAGCTGAGAGCAACTTGCAACATTTCAATGAGAACCCGAGGGAGATAACTCGAATCGGGTGTTTCAAGAAGGGTTTGATCGAAACACTGAACTGTTCGGTTTTGTCCCACAAGCTTCAGAACCCAGTCAGTGAGTTCAACGACCCCGGGGTCACTGGAAACTATCTCTCCCGAGCTTTTGCCAGTTAAAAGCTCTAGTAGGATGACCCCGAATGCATACACATCGCTTTTCAGAGACGGGAAAGGTTTGCTCGAGCTGGCAAACTCTGGCGGGCGGTACCCGAGAGCGGCTGCATTCAGGACTTGCTCGGCTGTGGCTGCCGGTGTAATTATCCGGTGAAGGCTGTAATCAGTTAGGCGTGCAGTAAGTTCGGGAGAAGGTTGTAAGAGGACGTTGGTGGATTTGAGATTTCCATGCGGAATTGCCCGCTCATTGTGTAGGTAACTGAGACATCGGGCTATGTCCTGAGCAATCTTGAGACGGTTGTCCAAGGACAAGGGTGGAAGGTTTCCCGGTCTGGTCTCTGCACAAGACAGGATGAGTTCTAAAGACAATCCAGATCCGAACTGGTAAAAGCAGCATTACTGAAACGAAGTCCTACGTACCTTGGAGATAGTGAGCCAAGGAAGGTGCATCGATGAATGTTGATATGAGGAGCTTCTCGTGTTTCTTCGGACCCCAATAGTAAGCCTGAAGGGAAACGAGATTCGGGTGCTTGATGTTACCAAGTTTCTTGATCTCCCTGGCAAAGTCTTTCTTACTTTTTGCGATCCCTTCCCTTAACCACTTGACTGCTAACACACAATTAGAGTTGAGCATTGCTCTGTACAATATTCCATGGCAGCTCCTCCCCATAGCTTCAGCCGGAGCACAGGACAGTTCCTCTGGTGTAAACACTAGAGAACTGTCAAAAACGTACAAGTCACCGGCCAGTTTAACTGGAGATTGGCAAGACCTTGGATTCTCAGGAGAACTCTGGATTCTGGATGGTGATGGAGTCACCGAGGTTACAAGAGACATTGGGGATGATGAGATTTCATCCTTTCTTGTCAATTTAGGGTCATTAGGCACTTGCGAAACCGCGGAAGAAGTTCCTGAATCACGATCTTGGGAGAAGCAAGGTGAAGAGACCGGTGGCTCTGCCTTCGTTTTGGGAGTAGATGCATGAGAAAGGGAAGATTCAGCTTTCGGACCACTCTTCTTTCCTTCAATTCCTTCCATTTTCTCCTCCTCCTCCTTATGTTTCTTCTTTACCACATGATGAACCAAAAGACAAACAAAGGCGAGTCCAACAGTACCTGCGACCAAACCCACAATCAAACCAACCTTTGTGGAAGGTTTCATATGAGGCATATGTTTCCTCAATGTTATATCTGCGGCATCTTTCGGCGTGGATGGAGAATTTGGGATGATCAATAAGGTGTTTCCTGGATGGTATGCCGACTCTGGAAACCGTCTGAGATTCTCGGGTACAATGCCAGAGAGATTATTGGCCGAAACATTGAGTACTTCAAGGTTGTCTGGAAGGTCATCAGGGATATTCCCTTCAAACTCGTTATCTGAAAGGTCCAGAGACACAAGATTACGGAACTGACTGAGTTCCTCGGGAATAACCCCACCTAAAGTGTTATGTGACAGATCAATAGCGGTCAAGCTCAGATTCCCGACCCTCCTTGCATCTTGAAGAGGAAGTGTACCTGTGAAATTATTGCTTGACAGTTTGAGATCAGTCAATTTTGCAGAAGTGAAAATATTTCCAGGGAGGAAGCCACTAAGTTGGTTGTGACTGAGATCAATGGTCTTAATTTCAGGATAAGTTCCTAAAATAAATGGTAGAACGCCCTGCAACGAGTTGTTGGCAGCTTCGAAGGAGGTCAGCCTCAGGAACTGAGAAGTTTGGTTAGGTAGTGATCCACTGAGTGAGTTCGAACTCAGCCGGATAACTTCCACATAATTTCCCCAACTCTCTATCCTGGCTAAGCTTCCTGAGATTTTATTATCACTCAGGTCGATAATGGCGCAATGTCCTACCTTCAGGGGCAAGGAACCCGAAAGTTTATTTGAGGACAAGTTCAGTTTCTCGAGTGTTCCCGATGTTATACTTCCAACAGGACCTGCCACAAACAGCAACAAAACAATAATGTATATACACACTGATAAAAGATTTGCAAAGATGGGTATATAAAGAAAAGAAAACCGAGGTTGAAGAATTTAAAGAAGTATGAACTGGGAAAGCAAGAAAAGGAGGAATACCTTCAAGTTGATTGAGGCTGAGATCTAGTTCAGACAAGACCATTGAACTTTCTTGCACAAGACCTTGTGGTAAAGTGCCTGAAAAATGATTGCCTTGTAACCGGAGAATCTTGAGAGAGACGACAAAACTGAACAGAGGAACAGAACCGGACAACTGATTACTGCTAGCATCGAACACCTCTAAACTATCGAAAAACGGAATGCCGTCATGAGCAAACAGTTGTCCCGCCAGAGAGTTTCCGCTTACGTTCAAATATCGAACTGAGGAAACAAAGCTCGATCTTCCAAGAGCCAAATCAAGAGAACCCGAAAACTTGTTCCTGCTTATGTCCACATAAGCCACAGTAACCAGCTGAGAAAACAGATTCATCACATCGCCTGAGAAACTATTGCCATGCAAATCAAGGTACTCCAACTTGTCAAGATTCCCAAAACCAGAGGGAATCTCTCCTCCGAAATTGTTGGAGGAAAGATTCAAAAACTTCAAGCTCCTCGAATTCTCAATTCCAGAGGGCACAGACCCACGAAACACGTTACACGACAAGTCCAAATACTTAAGAGACTTGAACAAACCGATATTCGATATAGTTCCACTGAACTGATTCTTCGAAATCGTTATGTTTTCCATCATTCTAAGGCCAACAATTGCACTGAACCTGAAATTCCCAACAAGACCTAGCCCATTCAAATCAATGGAGGTAACATAACCTCCAATGCAAGAGATCCCATGCCAATTCTTGGGACACCCATCAGAAGACAAAGCCTCGGAATCCCATGAAGGAAGAACTCGACCTGAAGGGTCTTCTTGTATACCCTTCTTGAGCTCCAAAAGAGCTTCGAAATCGGAGAAACCCGAAACGCTTACCACTAAGAGTAATACCAGCGAACATATCGTGTGCATGATTGCAACAGCTTCAGAAACACAAGTACCCGAAACCGGGAACCGCAACCAAACACACCAGAAACGTACGAATGAATAAATAAGTTGGAATTATCATATGCTTTGATGATCTCCAGGATGAATCAGAGCAAAAGTCATGGACTTCAGAGATGAATCAGAGCAGTCAAATGGGATAAGAACTTGGGATCCGCCATGGCAATCGGGCAGAGAAACGTGACGGGATCAGAATGCAGCTCGGAAAACGATGACAGATGCACAGAAAGTGAGGAAAACAGCAGATTCGAGTGGAACCCAGAAGCCGAAGAACAGAGGAAGAAGTGAGAAAGGACAGAGATCCATACAGAGATTGTCAGAGAGAAGGGGTAATAAAAGGACTTTCATGGAAGAGCAGAGAATCTAGAATCTGAGCTTCTTGGGCTCTTCAATCAGAAAGCGTAATCAAAGCCGCAGAGAGAGAGAGAGAGAGAGAGAGAGAGAGAGAGAGAGAGAGAGAGAGGTGTGAGGAGATAGAGAACAGTGTGAGAGGTCAGAGAGGTAGGTAATGGTCTTCTACTCGATATTAATCTTTTTGGTCCCAAAAATTTATTTGTCTTTGTGTTGTCTTTGTCTGCATCTCTAAGTTCCATGGCAGCTTCTCCTCATATATATACATATATGTATGTATGTATTCATAATTGGAGAAAAGAATTAATATACAAAATACGTATATAGAAAATTCAATGAGCCGACAAACAAAAACACAATGGGCTTTAACCCGCCATTTGTACAGTGGTCGTTTGGGAATCTGTTGGATTATGCAAAATCAAGTTCAACAGATAGGATATAATTTTTAATACGGAACAAAAAAAAATGAAAATCTCTTACGTCTTATTAATAAAAAAATATATATAAATCGAACGGAAACCAACAAACTAATGGCATTGATATCTTTTTGTTCCGCAAGAGAATCGCCTCCGGTTTTCATACACTCAACTTTTGCCTGCCATTGGCAAAAGCCTCGACCAGAAAGTAAGTGGAGCTGGTCCATGGCTTCACTTGGGATGAAGCAGTTCCAGGAAATGATCCGAGGCTGTCGTCCTCACGAAAAAAGCGGCTCACGAACGCCGTAAGAACGATCAACTTAGAGAATGATTTGCGACGCGAGCAGGGCAATGACCAAAAAGGCACGATCTTGATACCATCTGCGAGTTAACCTTACATTCCTCACCACTGGCATGAACAATCCCACAAGATCAAATTCTGGCAACTCCAACCGTAAGTGCTCCACAACACGCTTGATCATGCTTCCCAACTCATACAGTCAATTGTAACGGCTACTTCTTTCATCGGCAAACCTTAGAAAAACAAAGCTAAGTGCTGCATCTCTTCCAAAAGGTTGCCAAAAAGATAACGCAGAGAGAAACTTCGAAGTGGCAAAGGAAAAACTGAAAGAAGTATACGCCAAGAACAGCAAACAGAATTACTCATCATGCTCAACTTCTAACCCATATAACAACACCATAAGGGACTAAACAAGAAGAGAATTGATACACACTCTCCAAAAACATATCAACAACAGGGATGTGCTCCAACAGGCCCCCACTCAATCGATATTGTTAATGAGCATTGATTCCACCCAAACTAACCCATCCAAACCTTAACATAAAAACAGTGGTGTTAATTTCAGAAGCTCAGACTCGGAGTCTAGAGGTTTCCATTGTGAGCTTATTCAGGGTCCAGAGTTCGAGCGCTACACGCAAAATTACCAAAGGGGCAGCTTTCACATTGTGATGTTAACTGTTTCTATCAAACGCTTTTGATCTTTTCCATATGTAAACCAAAAGAAACAACATCCAGAAAATATTAGAGATGGATGAATCATATAACACTAAACATGCAATCCCGACACGGTAAGATCGTGTGAGAGGAGAGAAGAAAAGATACCTGTCATGTATGGATATTAAACAGCTGCAAGCACTTCAGATTTGTTTTCAAGTCATCCTACATATGGGTCTAGCAATATAAAGTGATCACGATACAATAAACTTACATGTACAGACAGGGAAACATTACTACACAGACATTAACCCCGACGTAAATCTTGAATCTTCTAATTATAAGCTAATGCTTAGAAGTACTCAGCTAAATTCAGCTTCAAGAATGGCAACATAGATCTCTCTTCCATGTTTCCAAATTCCCAGATCGGTGCCATTCTCGTACTCAAGCATCAGATTCTCAAGACCCTACAATCTAACACAAGGCATTATTTCGATCACTCAAAATTTTCCACGTTCCGGCATCTGTCTAGAAAGTACTGAAACTACTGAAAATCATTACAACCGCGATGTAATAAGCTTAGCTTTTCCAATACCTTAACCAATAAGAATAGCATAATTGCAAAGAAACAGATTCGAGAATTATATGTTCAAACATCAAAAGGAGAGAAAAAGAAGAGACCCAATCACCAGAATTTGAAACTTTCGTTGGTGTGGCAACGAAACGAACGGAAACCCTAAACCCGGAAACTCAGAACTCAATTTGAATTACAGAGACTGAATGTGCCCTTGTTCGGAAAATCACCGTAGCCAACGACACTGAAACACAAATTCCTCGCGAGCGAGATTCAAGATTCTCCGAAACATTAATCAGAGGGCGAAATCGAGCGAGACAAACAACCCTAAAAGAGCGGATGTAATCAGTTCAAACGCGAACACAACAAGCAGTAGCCGAACCAAAAACACCACAGAGAGAAACGGGACGAGAAAGGGAGAGAGATGGAGAAATCGAGAGAGGCAAATCCGAATTCACCCAAACTAGAATCATGGCAGAGAAGACGACTTACCGCCGGAACTTCAAAATATAATATTTAATTTGGCACCGCAAAGTTATCTTGATGATAAAAACCCATGAATTTCAGTTCTCTATATACACTAATCCATCAAACTATCAACAAAATTCAAAAGCCTCGGTTATATATATATATATAGTGTATATACATGTCATAGATATACATACCATGATTGTCGTTTTTATTTGAAGTCTCCATAGCCTCATCCCATTTTATTTTATTTACTCGCTATTGTATATTTGTATGAATGTGGATACGACCCAAGTATGAGCTCCCGAACCCATAAGTGATTCAAAACCGGGCTTTTGAGAGATTAATGGGCTTAGAAAATGATCACAAAAAGCTATAATTAAGCACATGTGATGTATGTATGTATGTATGTATGTATGTATGTATGTATGTATGTATGTATGTATGTATGAATGTATGTATGTATGTATGTATGTATGTAGGGGAGGTGCATGAACAGTGAAGTGGCATACGGCGAAGTTAATTGTGTTTTGCAGGAGGCAAGCGTTTTGTCTCCCGCCTTGCCCCCTCTCCTCTTTCTCATTCTTTAATTGCACGACGATTTATTTTATTTATTTATATTACCCTTCAATTTTTACCAATTTAAAAATTTTAAAAACATAATGCACAAAACACAAAAATGTTCCCTCCTCATTTTTTTTATTCAAATGATACTTTTCATCTCCAATAATAATTCTCGAATAACCACGGGACCAAAGTAGCCTCGACCAATATGATAAATTATTTTACTGCATGATACCATAATTCGTTTATTTAATCAGAATTCGACATCATTAAAAATTGTAAAGTAACTGTTGCTGTTGTTAGTAATAATCGAAAGAGTTTAAATAGATCATGTAAATATTTAATAAACAATATAATTTTAGTTAAAATAAAAAAAAATTAAGAATATAATGTACTTTAAAAAAAATATTTCAACATAAAAAAATATTAGGGAATTTTGGGCAGATTAAGAATAAAAAAAATCCAGAATATTCTTCCACAAAAAAAAAATAATAATAATGTGAGGTTGGGTGGATGAATCTGGTCAACTTAATAAATTGAAGGTGGGGTTTCGCAAAAACGCACATGGGCTGTCTTGCATTAAGTGAAGACGCGTTCATCCAAAGCGACAACGACATCGTCTTCTTCCCGCCCCTAAATTTAAACCGGATTAAACCGGACATAAATAATTCGGTTTTGATTCAGAGGATTTTGGTACGACTCACATGGAAGTTTCAACTCTAGCAATGTGAAATTCCGTATATATTAAATATAGTTTTCATATATAGAACATAAACGTAGTTTACATAAATTGTTGTCTAGAAAAAGATTTCGTATATCAATCGTTCTTACAATATTGCAATTTACACCGAATACGTTAAACTGTAGAGGTCTAATTAAATTAACGTGCATCTAAAACGATACAGATAATAAATTGTAGAAATAAATGTATTGTATAAATGATATAGATAATGCAATTAATTTTACTGCATATTTATAATCTTCGTCAGCATAATATATATTAATTAATGTTGAATTTTACAGACACCCGATTTAGTATATAATGCGAAAGGTTATTTTATAATTAATCCACACACGCACTGCATGTTTCGTAATCTTACAATCTCTTAAAAATTAAGATGTTAACAAAAGATAATTACAGATTATAATTTTGAGGTTGTTAGTGTCCTAATTTTCTTATCATAATTTTATAAATATTTTTATTATCATTGAATTGGCGTGACGAGAGAAAGAACAACTTATAAAAAATTAGAATGATTATGATGTTGTTTAATTACTCAGGTACGACGGTCCAAATTATCTATTTTATAAAGCCAGTTAATGATCAGATTATTATCTTAAAAAATTGTATGTTTCGTGCATAATTTAATGAAAATATTTTTAAAACGGTTGTTTATTAATCACCAAATAATAGAATATTGGAGTGACAGTTGGATGTAACGTTATTTTAAGATTAAATTTACCAAGTACTTTAATTAAGTTCATAACGAACATGCTTAAAGACCATAAAATATGTACGTACTACATTAAATGGACCAAAGTCACTGTCTATTTAATTATTAGCATATTTATTTTTGTTACTTCATTCAAATTAACATTTACACTGTTCGAATATTCATAGTCTATATGATTTAGCAAAATTTGTTATGAAGGATGTTAACATTGATAATACGATCATAAAAATAAAAAGATATTAATTTGGTATTTGATATTATAACAACATAAAATTCATAAAGTTAACACAAATATCTATAAATATATATATATATATATATATATATATATATATAATGGAAAACTTATAATGAATATTGGTTCCAAGATGATTTCCCAGTTCAGAGGAAATTACAAAGGGGGAGTAAGTGAGTGTCACAAGCCGACAACAGTTAACACACCGTTAATAGAGTGGCTAAAAACACATCACTATACACTAGCGATAGCGAGTACGATGACTATTCCACAAGACTTGTAATATCTTCTGATTTTATAAGAGAAAGCATCCAATGATTTTTTAAATGTGAAGAAAATTTCATAAAAAAAAGTGGCACTTGTTAAAGTTTTACAGAAAAAATATTTATAATCGTGAAAGAAGAGTGGCTACAAACACATCACAACAAGAACCAGAATGTTACATTACATCAAGATGTAAGAAAAATACAGTAACCAGAATCAGAAGAAGAAGAAGAAGATGTGTTCGTAGAGAGAAGTATACAACAGATGACACTATATATATATATGCTTTAAAACCATATAGATACATCTTGCTGCTGCTGCTGCTGTAGCTGCTGTTTTGCCATTCCATCGATTCCTACTGCCTGCAGTTCATCTCTGTAATCAAATGAAGCCAGATCGAATGGCGTAGACTCGAACACTAACTGAAATCCACTGTTAGTGTTGTTGTTGTTGTTGTTGCTGCTGTTGTTGTTGTGGGCAGCTTCGAATTGGGGGTTTGAGAACTTGAACATGTTATTCCCCTGCAAAAACATGTTCTTGCTGTTGCTATTACCGTTGCTGTTGCTGTTGCCGTTGGGGATGAGCAAGTCTTCGAAGAAGCTCCCTTGGATTGTGTTTCCCGTGCTGTGGTTGAACTGCTGCTGTTGTTGTTGTTGTTGATGATTCTGGGGTTTTGGCTGAAGTGTTGTTATGTTCTGATTCTCCACCATTGAAGCAGTTTGGTGGTTGCTCTGGACGTTCCTGTCATAAATGGACATGAGCTCAGTTATCATCTTCTGCCCATCCTCCGGAACTCCAACTCCTGATAGGTCGAATGGTCGGACCGCTGAGTTAACGGTTGCCACCGCTGGTCTCGGCTGAGAGGGTTGGGGTTTTACTTCACCGACATGGAACTTCGCCATTGCTCCGTATGCTATGGAGCTCTCTCTGTACGGACACACCAGTTGGTGGTTGTCCCTGGAAGTCCTGTCCAGAAACGCCAGATTGATTTGGCTGTGAGGACAGTGACGGTTCTCACAGTTGAAGACTCTTCTGTCCAGCCTCGGGTTTAGATCACTGTTCGGTCCCCTCTTTCTCGTGAATTCCAAGTTTCCACCCGTGACTTCTTCCTTGACCGGGAAATGTTGTTGGATCATATGCATTTTAGGCATCGGAAAGTTTGGAGGACTGATCACTCTCTCCGGTTTGTGATCTTCCACATCATAAACGGGCTCCTTGTCGACAACTTCAACGTCATACTCGTTGCAGTCGTTAATGAGAAGAGACCCGCTTCCTCCAGTTGAGGAAAGAGGCGGACAGGACTCGGGATAAAGTTCCCGAGCAAGGGTCTCTTCTTGGTTGATGATTGCAAGCCAAGTAGCGCTCTCTTTGGCCGTCATCTTATCCTGCAGGCACTTGGATTGCCTCACGAGCTTACGGATCTTAGCAATATCGGGTGACATATGCTTGATAACTGCAGTCAAGACACCGACTTTCCACGCCTTCTTCAAATCATGAGGTTTCTTGTAAGGTGGAGGGCCTTGATCTTTTGGTAAACCGAGTTGAGGCCACCACTCCTCCATTCCCGTTGGCCACCACGGTGGAGGAACTCCCTTCTCTAACGGAAACCGCCTCTGCGGAGGATCACAGTGTTGCATCAGAGCCGACAGGAGGGATCCAAGAGTCGTATCTTGGAGTTCTTGCAACGTGTGGGGTGTCGGCCCGATCGGATTGCTACCCTCGTTGCACCCCGGGATATTATTCTCGGCTTGGTACTTAGCGATAGCAGCCGGACCATTCCGATCAAACCTCACCCTATCCTTCCACCACTCGCGGAGATTATCCGAAGCACCCGTGACTGGCTTCCCCTTCTCGGGGATGATCCCGTAGACAAATCCTTGAGCTTTACACACTTCCATCATCTTCAGCATGTACTTCAAGATCCCGTCTTGCGCCCTCGACATCTTCTTCCTCCTGGCTTGCTCCTGCGACTGCCTCCTCTTGGCGGCATCGGCTCCTTCCGGAGTCTTGGTCTGCTCCTTGAGACGTTTCAGACGGAGTTTGTCCCTCCACATCCTCCTCTCCAGTTCATCCACGTCCATCTCTTCGTCGGTATAGTCATCCTCCACGACCGGTTCTTCCGGCTCTGTCTCGGCCGGTGGGGCAGGACATATATCCACTTCTCCGAGAGATGCGGAGGAGAAGAAATCCATGTTCCCACACATACCCATCTCGCTGAACATCATCATCTTCCACACGGACGTTTTTCTCTTCAGATCGGTTGACTTTGTTTAACATGAAATACCAAAACACAGAGAACAGAGATCAGGATGTTTTCCTCATCAGACAGAACCCAAACAACTCGTCAACAAAGAAGAAGATGAGATCATTAAAAGAAACTCGCAACTCAAACAAGGTAAATACATCAGATCATACCAAATGATAACCCCGTGTACGATCTAAATTTCAACTGTATGGAGAAGATGAACTTGTTTTGGGAAAACGAAGACAAAGGACCAAACTTTGATTTTTTTTTCTTACTCAAACCAAGATAAATTTTAAAAAAAAATCGAGAAACCAGACAAATATACGTAATCCAATCAGACATGAATCAAAAAGCGTGAGCAGTACCCAGATCGTAAAATTAGCAATACCCGGATCGAGCAAAACACCATCGGAGATCGAGAAATCAAATAGAGTACCGGATTCGTCAAAAATGGAGAGAAACATCATCAGAACACAAGAAAAAGAGCATCACAAGCACAAAAAAAACTTACATAAAAAAAAAAGAGAGAACCCCGAAATGGGTCTCCACCTCCCTGACTCTCTCGGCTATCTGCTATTGGAAAAAAGAAAAAGAAAAAGAAGCAAACCCTAATTCACCAGGGAAGAAAAGGGAGACGAAGAAAAGTCAATCGAAAGTCACATGGGAAGAAAGCGACTTTCGATAATGGGTTTTCTGGGTTTTGAGTAAATCTACAAAGGGGAGAGAGGTGCCTTGGTGGTGGTGGGTTTTGCACTCGAAACGTTCAACTTCATGTAGCGGACGGCAGATAAATAAATAAATAAATAAAATATTGCAGCCGACAATAAAAACAAATTCCGAATATAGTATTATAACTCCTTTCTATTTTATTTTTTGTTGGGAAAAAACTCTTTCCATTTTTAAATATATGATAAGATCATTTGGGCTTCCCATAAAATAATTACAAATTTATTAAATTAAACTTTCTTTTGGCGGTATTACCTCCTTATCCACGTCGTTGTCTTCAAGTTTTAGAAAAAAAAAATGTCTTTAAAAGTAAAAACTATTTTGCAGATATAGATTGAAAACATATTGATAATATATATATGTTAATGATACATCATTTCGATCATTTTATCTATTTAACAATGATATTAATATCTATCAATAATATGAGCCTTATCACAGTTACAAAAAATGGTTTAAAGAGTTATTTATATTACATATTTAGAAGAAAAAAAATTAATTCAAATTGTTTTCAGTAGGGGTGGACACGGATCACGTACCCCCAATTTTTTAAAAATCTTTTCTCGTCTTCATCATTGCGGGTTTTACAAAAATATTATCTCAGTCTTGGCTTCATAAAATCTGGGTATTTGTAGTTCGGGTTTAATGAGATTCTCTCGTGAGTATCCAGATCTATGCGACTTATAAAATTTTAAATAATGAAATGATAGATATAGAAAGTACAAATGAATGAGGTCAAAGTATAAGGAGAAAAATTCACGATGAAGAGAAATGAGTAAAATTTTGAGAGAGATAAATGGTTGATTCGGTTGTATAGAATGAGATTTAGAATTGTGAAATTTTTGTATAGAAAAGTTTACAAGATAAAAAAATGAATTAAAATAAAAATATTTTAATAAATAATAAGAATAATTTAGAAAAAAAAAATTATAAATATAAAGTATATTTTAGATTTTTAACAAATATGTCGGGTATTTCCGGATACCTTTTGTAAAATAATTAAACCCCCACTCAGATTCGGGGTCAAAAACTTAACCTTATTAATACTCGATCTCATCATCATTAATATCCGGTTACCCTTAATTCGGTTACTTGTTAAGTTGAGTATCTCTAAACCTCCATATTACGGGTTAAAACGTCCACCTCTAGTTTTTAGATGTTTATTGTTAATATTAAAATGAACTATATATGTGATCAAACCACCTGTTATCTAATCAGACCACAAATCATTTTAATAACCATTTAAATCCAGATTTTTTTCCTAAATTTTGGTTGCCTTGAAGCAGCATAGTTTTTGCTATTTGCCTATTTTGGTTTGAGAATAAAAAGGTTAATCTTCCCTGTTTAAATGGGATATTTATTCATGGCTCTACTACCTACATCTTTTCCAAAATGAAAAGAAGAACCATTATTTAGAGATAATCTTATATAAATCCCTCCAATATTTTTTAACTTCCAAATTTAATGTATTAAAATTTTCGTGATCATATGTGAGTTCAGATATGTTTTTAATAACATTTTTAAAATTTTACTTGATTGGACTATTGACTATTAACACCAAATTACTTTTTTTTTCTGTTGATTGTTAAATTTACAATATTTATGATTTTGGAAGAAAATAAATGATAAAAATTATCAACTAATTAATTTTCAATAAATTAAATCCAAGTAAACCAATTTAAATGCAAAAGAAATTAAAAAACTTTTTAAAAATCTGAATAAGTAATTGAATAAATAAAACCCTGAATATCTAGTCATATTTTGTGTCTTGTCATCAACAATGATCTTTTTAACTGATGTTTCGTTTTCAGAATTTTGTGGGTTACTTAAATATTTTCCAAACAATTATTTATGAAATACACACATTTGACTGGAAAATTTAAAAATGAAAACAAAACTTATACCCATTCAAGAAGCTATTGTTCAGGATTTTTTTATTAACATGTTTTTATTTTCTGTTTTTTTTTAGAAGAACTGTTTAGCTTTCACTACTTTTATGTTTCCTTTTGTCTACATTTTTCTATTAAATCTCTATTTAAAATATATTTTAAACTGCTATATATAATATATATATAGATCACATAAAAACACACGTACAAGCCGACAAAGTTCACACAGCGATAGCGAGTACGATGACTATTCCACAAGACTTGTAATATCTTCTGATTTTATAAGAGAAAGCATCCAATGATTTTTTAAATGTGAAGAAAATTTCATAAAAAAAAGTGGCACTTGTTAAAGTTTTACAGAAAAAATATTTATAATCGTGAAATACAGTGAATTCAGTTTTTGTAATTAAAATATGCGACCATTCTTTTGCCAATTCGAGGAAGAAGGATTAATTTTCGGGGGATTATTACAAGGAAGAAGAAACACACGTCTGGTCCCAATGTCCACTGCTCCACTGTTGGGAGGACACAGCCAAGAGAGAGGCTTTACCCTCACGTCTTGTTCTGCAACTTGCATCTCTTTTGTTTCTGCTCATATATATATACTTGCATCTATCTATATATATATATATATATTATACACAAGATTATATACAAGATTCAGGAATAGCCACATGTCAGCTGGTGAAAAGAAGAAGCCAAGAAACACTCGAGAAGAACTACAAGAAAGAAACAGATTAGTTTGAAGAAGATTTTAGAGAAATGTCTTGTCCAAGAGTGAATGCACTGTTCCTCTCTTATTCCTCTTTTCAAACTGCTTGGAATGGTTTTTTCCCCTTCCCTGAGTTCATGAAGATGGTGAAGCATATCTCCCATATCAAGAAAAGGACTGATTCCCAATCTTGAGGGACTGGATGATGGTTCCACTTTCAAACCTCGATCCCTGCCCACCAGCAGGAGAGGATAAAAGAAACCTAATTGAAGGGAATTACACTTGGCTATGAACAAAAGACCCATGGAGACCTGGGAAGATAGGTTTGGATCTGCAACAGAAGGAACCCACTATGCCTTCTTTCAGATATGCAATCAGAAACATGGATTTAACATATGGTGGAAAAACTTACAATGTTAGACAATGCAAGTCCCAATAGAGTTCCCAAGAAGCAACATTAGGGAAACTACAATTAAGATTCAAGGCAGGTCGAGAGATTCACCGGCCAGACAGCACCACCAAATACTATTTGTAAGAGTTTTCATTACAAGACAAGGTAAGTAGAAGTTGCTTTTACAGATTAGCATACATGATAAGATTCTACATAATGACTTACTTCAGAACCACGTCGATGCATCTTGCTGCTTCGGCATCATACCCTCCATCCCCACTGCTTGCATATCGCCTCTGTAGTCAAATGATGTCAGATCGAATGGTGTAGAGTCGAACACAAGCTGGATTCCACTGCTGTTATTGTTGTCGGTGATGTTGTTGTTGTTGAAACCGCTGTTTCCTTGTGTAAACATTTGGTTGTTGCGGCTGCTGATGCTGCAGTTGTTGTTGCTGTTTGGGATATTCAAGTCTTCAAAGAAACTTCCTTCGATCATGTTTCCATCGCTGTTGTTGAAATGGATCTGTTGTTCTTGATGATTTGGAGCTTTCGGCTGACGCGTCATGCTTTGATTTTCCACCATTGAAGAAGCTTGGTTGCTCTGGACGTTTCTGTCATACATAGCCATGAGCTCGGAGATCATCCTCTCCCCATCTTCTGAAACCCCGAAGCCTGTTAGGTCGATGGGTTGAACCACTGGCTTTGGCTGAGTAAAGGGTTGTGGTACAGCTGCTGGCTTTATTTCGCTGACGTGAAACTTGGATGATCGATAAGGTAAACAACTGTCTCGGTATGGGCACACCAGTTGGTGGTTGTCCCTTGAAGTCCTGTCTAGAAATCCAAGATTGGTTTCGCTGTGGGGACACCGAGGATTTTCACAAACGAAGGTTCTTCTGTTCATGGCCAAGTTTAGATCGCCATTTGGTTTCCTCTTACCCACGAATACCACGTTACCGGCGGTGAGTTCTTCCTTAACAGGGAATTGTTGTTGGACCATATGCATATTAGCAATCCCAAAGTTCGGAGGACTGATCACGTTCTCTAGTTTGTGCTCTTCGACATCATAAATGGGATCATTGTCAACAACTTCAACATCATACTCACTACAGTCATTGGTGAAAAGCGGTCCACTTCCTCCGGATGAAGAAAGAGGAGGACAGGACCCGGGATAAAGCTCTCGTGCAAGGGCCTCTTCTCGGTTGATGATTGCAAGCCAAGTAGCACTCTCTTTGGCCGTCATTTTGTCTTGCAAGCATTTGGACTGCCTCACAAGCTTGCAGATTTTAGCAATGTTGGGTGACATATGCTTGATGACTGCAGTCAAGACACCGACTTTCCATGCCTTCTTCAAATCATGGGGTTTCTTGTAAGGTGGAGGGCCTTGATCTTTTGGCAAACCGAGTTGAGGCCACCATTCCTCCTTCCCCGAAGGCCACCATGGAGGAGGAACTCCCTTCTCCAATGGAAACCGCCTCTGTGGAGGGTCACAGTGTTGCATCAAAGACGATAAGAGCGATCCAAGAGTCGTATCTTGAAGTTCTTGTAACGTGTGTGGTGTCGGCCCGATGGGACTGTTGCCCTCGTTACTGCCTGGAATGTTATTCTCGGCTTGGTACTTTGCTATAGCAGCCGGACCATTCCGATCAAATCTCACCTTATCCTTCCACCACTCGCGGAGATTATCAGAGGCACCCGTCACAGGTTTTCCGTTCTCGGGGATGATCCCATAGACAAAGCCTTGAGCTTTACACACTTCCATCATCTTCAGCATGTATTTCAAGATCCCATCTTGAGCCCTCGACATCTTTTTCCTCCTCGCTTGCTCTCGAGACTGCCTCAGCTTGGCAGAATCGACTCCTTCCTTGCTCTTGCTTTGCTCCTTGAGACGTTTCAGATGCATTTTGTCCCTCCACACCCTCCTCTCCAGTTCATCAACACCCATCTCTTCGTCCGTACAGTCATCCTCCACAGTCGGTTCTTCCGGTTCAGCTTGTGATGCAGAGGAGAAGAAATCCATGTTCCCACACATTCCCATCTCGTTGAACATCATCATCTTTCACCAGATCGTTCTTCTTCAATGGAAGAAGAAGATCACAAACTTGAAACCAAGAAAAGACTTGATTGACTTGTTTAACCTGTAAAGGCAATACAAGAAGAAAACAGATCAGAGAGTTTATCCAGTGGAAGGAGAAGATCCTTTCGAGTCTCATAACATCAAAACAGTTTATGAGTGAACCCAGATCTTTCATCTGCAAACATCAAAGAATGAAAAATCATAACGATCAAGGCAAATACATCAACATCAACCACACGAAAAGATGATGACACCCTAATGCCTAAATGAATAAATCAAATCTCATTTCTAGTTCTAGACATGGATTCCAACAGCACACAACGAGTGAGGTCGTCATCTGACAAAATCATATACGTTCGTCAAATTCTGAAACGAATCGGAGGGAGAACAACATACCCATGAAAATTCGCTAGAAAATGAAGCTAAATGGTAAAAATCAAGCTTGATCCACACAATCAGGTGAATGAAATTCACGTGATAAAGTAAAAAGACCAAAAAAAAAAAAGAAGAGAAATCATACCGAAAAAGCTTTCGTCCAGTCAAATCCACGATTAAATCATCGCTCTCGTCTCCGATCAGGAATACACTCAGATCGCAAAATCAGTAGAAAAAATATCACTCGAGCTAAAAAAACCCATCAGAGATCAAAGAACATAAACACGAATACCAACATCAATATCAATCTCAGTATAATCCGTACAAATAGACACACCACGAAAATTCAAGACGGAGAGCATTACCAGTAAAAAATCCGCCAAAAAAAAAACAGAACTGAATCTCTCCTCTCGGCCAGAAAGCCTATCGTGGAAGAAATAACCCTAATTTCATGGAACTCTCAAGAAAGAAGAAGGTGAAAAGTCGATACAAAATCGCACGAGGAGAAAGAGACCTTGGTCTTTTGGGATTTCCGAGCTTGTGGAATGGAATCTGAAGAGGAGAGAGAAAGAGATGCGTTGATGGTGGGTTTTGATTTTGAGTTACATCATTGATTTCTTTATTGCGAACGGAATAATATTATTTCTTTTTTCCTATTTTTTTAATAAAAAAACGGAATTTCGTAATATTCGACCATGTTTTTGTGGGGAAATTTAATGCGATCATTTAATTTATATTGCAATTAATGCAAATGGTGATGTGACGTTTATTTATTTTTTTGTCGTAGTAAGATCCGTGTTGACGAGTTCACTTACTATATATTACGCGGAGACATTAATTTATCTTATTTTATTTACTTAGGAGACATTAATTTAGTATATCACATATTGTTAATTTGTATGATATTAATATTACATCGTCATCGTCGTGTGTATATATATATATACACATACATACATATATATATATATATGTGTATATCTCTGTGTGTGCATGAATACATATTATGGGGTCATAATCGATTAAAAGATCATATGTAAAATTGAATAAAACAAAATCTCGCAATAAACTTCTCAAAAGCATTTTAATAAATTACACTAGCAGTAACTGAATGGTGATGGATTATTGTTACTTTTTCGCAATAGATTTATTATATTGTCTATAGTGTTTTTATAAATATAAATTGTTCTTTCACACTTAGAAAGTATCGATCCAAAATTTTTAATCAAATTAAAAAAGATAATATTTCTACTGCTTTGTTACCTTTAGTAGTAATTATTAACCTTCGTTTTCGAAAATTACTATTTATTTAAACCTTTAATTCACTTTATTAGACCCAGAAAAGGGGTGGATTAGGACGACGTCGTCGTTGTCAGAATGAGAATTATAGTGTTACACCTCGAGGTGTAACTGTCTTAACCAATAGCATGGAGACACGTCAATACTAATTTTCCGCTAATACGCAATGGGCTTTTTATTGAATGGTCCCATTTAGGCCCACATAGATTAAAAAAATCAAATTGGACCGAAAACCCACCTGAGTAACAAAAAACAATAAAAATAAATAAATTCAAAATTTATTTGTAACTTGAATATAAAAGTGCTTAAAATTTTAAGTAAAACCCCTAAAAAAACCTCGAACTTACAAAAAAAAAAAATTATAAATAAACCTTCAACTTGTAAAATTATCATTCAAACTCCAAACTTACAACATATAACTGAATAAAATCTCGAACTTGTAAATTATTGCTCTAGTAACCCGTTGACTTGTTTGACCACAGTTTCAGGCGATCAAAAATCTACGTTGGTCCATAAATCTGATGTCAGTGTGTCTACATAACCAATTTTAACTGAATAAACCTTCAATCTAATTATGTTCTATTACGTTGGTCCGGAAAACCGCTTTATTTACTCTCCAATCGGATTAAATTTCGACCCAAAAAATATTGATATGACAAAAATTCATTTAAAGTGGTTACACGGATACACTGACATCAATTTTATGGGCCAACGTGGATTTCTGATTATTTGAAATTATGGTCAAATAAATCAACAGATTATTAGAGTAACAATTTGCAAGTTCGAGGTATTATTTAGTTATATCTAGTAAATTTGAGATTTGAATGATAGGTTTGCCAAAGTTTATTTATATATATTTTTTCGAAGTTTGATTAGTTGTTTTACCAAAAAAAATAGCGTTTGAAGCATGCAAGTCTCGCGTCGGTTGCTAAGAGAGAAGATTGTCTACGGCTAATCGCAGAGAGATCACCTGACATCATCATAGTAACTGGTGACGTCACCGAAGTTGATGACTGCCTGGAGGAATTTTCCGTTATAAAAGCTTCGTTTTTTGCATAATAGATAATATGATTCATGTGTCATATTAGTTAATTGTTGAGAAAATGATTATTTTGCGCTCTTGACCATGTTAATAATGTTGTACTGTTAATCATCCGAAATCTGAATTTGTCGTAAAATTTATAAAATTATCCGAATATTTTGTACAATAATGTTGATATATTTCATAATAGTATCATTTAATCGATATCAGCGTTTACTAGGCTTATCTTAAATTTTAAATTAGTTTATTTAACAATAATAAAATATTAAAATTCATTATATGATTTTGCAGTTATTCTATTCCACAAGTTTATTATCGGTTTTGTGCTCAGTGAAAAAATAATTTTTTAAAATAAAATCAAATTTTCTGTAAATTATTTATGTATAGATTAGTTATCAATAGTAGTAAAAAAAATATTAATATCTTCATGTCGATAGTTGGGAAAGCTACGTTCAGTCTGCTGGTGTACGTGTCAGTGACTGCGCACGTAGGCTACTATTTAAAGCCAATATCTTCAGATCTTCGTTCATTGCTTCCTTCAAATTAAAACGAACGGTAAGGATCGAAGGTGTAGCTGTACTCTCATGAACCACGTTGTAGAGAATTTAAAACGGTAGTTTTTCCCTTAAATTTGAAATTGACCATATTCCGGCTAATCCAAATTTCAAAACACAAGAAAAAGGGTGAAATTTTAAGAGAGAGAGAGAGAGATTGGCAAAACCCCTCTGGCTTTTTTCTTCTAGGGTTTTTTCGTCTTCCTTCATCGCCCGGTACTCTCAGGTTATTTAGGGTTTTGTTTCAATTTGTCTGTTTTTTTTTAAAAAAGTAGTTGTTTTTTGCTGGAGTTTTGTTACCTTCACTCTCTCTGAAAATGTAGTTTCTTCACTCCCTGGTTTCGTATGTTTTTTTTTATAATTTTTCTTCTCTTTGTCCTTTTCTAGTACCTAGTAAAAAAATTGGGTTCTTTAATTTTTTTTTTCTGGGCTATGGTCAGTGGTAAGAGTAGCTAGTATCGGACCTCGACGAACATGTAAAGAAATTTAGAAACCTGGAAATTGGTTCTAATTTCGCATGCAGTTACTTTCTCCATTTGTTATTTGTGGATATTTGGTAGTGGAAATTGCAAAAAGATTGAAGTTTTCTTTTGCCTGAAGGTCGTCTCTGAAAATGCTGATATATCTTGACAACATTTTCTGGGTTTTCCTTCTTTGTTTTTCTCGTTTGCACGAAGTGGGCGGGGTTTTTCTTTTGGAAAAAAATCTTGTTTTTTTTCTTTCCATTTGCATTTTTTCCTTCATTTTTTTTTTTGGGTTTTCAAGCATTCGTCGAAGTTTTTTTCTTTTTCGCAAGAGATTTTTTTCGAAGCTTGTTTATCGTTTTCGGTTGTTTGATTTATGCTTGAAACCTTTTTTTGGTTCTTTTAAATTTTTTGGTAGATGCAGTGCAGGTGTGAGAAACGAGTCCCCTAAAGATGGAAGCTTTGATTGTGAGACGGTTTTGCTAGGCCTTTGTTTCCAACCTTTGAATGTTTCGATTCTGTGAGAACTTTTTCTGATTTTTGAATTTATCAATCAAAAGGATTTCATGTTTATGCATGTTCATTTCCCCTGCATTTGACGTTTGCTTGACGGTGTTTCAGTAAAAACCGTATCTTGGTTGTTGGATTTTGATCTTGTGATGATATCTCTTATGTCATTCTTTTGTCACTTCACTTTCTCTACCAAACTTGACATTGTTTGGGCTGCTGAAACTGAGCATTGTGGTTTATTTTCACTTATAGATATCACTGATTGCATGTACATTCATTCTAAATACCATGGTGAAATTCTCTTCTGTACGCTTTCCTCATGTATTTCGCGGGCATTATGGTTCTTACTGTGGTAATGGCCGTAGGGGTGTCAAACGAGCCAGCTCGGATCATTTTGGGCTCGGCTCATTTGGCTCGGATCGTTTTGGGCTCAGCTCGTTAGGCTCGTTTTCTAACGAGCCAGAAAAACCTCAGCTCAGATCGCTCGCCAGTTTTCCGATCTGAACGAGCCAACTCGTTGAGCCAAGCATATATAATATTTTTTATTTATATTTATTTTAAATATAATTATAAATTTAAATAAATACATAAAAATTTATTAAAACACCAAATACCAGCTCGTTGAGCAGCTCGCCAGCTCGCCGAGCCAGAGCTCATTGAACACGTCGTTAGGCTCGTTTTTTAACGAGCTGAAAAAATTACGGCTCAGATCGCTCGTTTTCTGGCGAGCCACGAGCCAGCTCGCGAGCCGGGCTCGTTTTGACACCCTGGGTAATGGGTTTAGTTATCTGTCTCATTGTTGGTGTTTTCCTTGCTTAGGAAATGGATTCAGGTAACGGAAGCAGTGGAGATCTGGATTCTGCTAACTTAGGTGAAATCACTGAAGCATTGCTCCCTCCGCCGCCAGTTATTCCTCCAAATGTGGAACCATTGCGTGTTGAAACAGAACCACCGCCAAAGAAGAAGAACTTGCGAGTTCCCATGGCTAGGCGCGGGCTTGGAACAAAAGGACAGAAGATACCCCTATTGACTAATCACTTCAAAGTCAATGTCACTAATCTTGATGGTTACTTTTATCACTATAGCGTATGATTTGCTTTTCCTCGCCCTTGGTCTATTGATAGTTTGATATTGTTTAGCTGATTCTTTATTACCTCATTTGAATTCGGGTAACGTGAATTTTGGGGCTTTTTTATATGGTGAACAGGTTGCTCTCTTCTATGACGATGGTCGACCAGTTGAAACTAAGGGTGTGGGGAGAAAAGTGCTTGACAAGTTGCATGAGACTTACCGCTCTGATTTAGCTGACAAGGATTTCGCGTATGATGGCGAAAAGACTCTATTTACATTTGGCGCTCTTCCTACTAATAAAATGGATTTCTCGGTTGTGCTCGAGGAAGTTTCTTCGAAAAGGTTATTAATATCTGTGATTGCTCCATATAGTCCTATTTCTAAGTGCTTTAGGCTTAAGTCTGACTGGAAACTTCTTTCCCATGCAGGACCAATGGAAATTCTAACCTTGATAGCCCGGATGATGGTGACAAGAAAAGGATGCGTCGCCGAAACCAATCCAAAAGTTTCCGGGTGGAGATAAGTTATGCGGCTAAAATTCCGTTGCAAGCTCTTGCTAGCGCAATGCGTGGGCAAGAATCTGAGAACTCGCAAGAAGCCATAAGGGTATTAGATATCATCTTACGTCAGCATGCTGCTAGACAGTGAGTGAAAAACTTTTATGGGTTGTTTTTTTTTTTGTTTTTAGATTTCTCAAGGCATCATGTACTTTTTGTTTATTAACATTCTTTCGGATAATTTGCAGAGGATGCCTGCTTGTCCGTCAATCGTTCTTCCATAACGACACTCAGAACTTTGAAAGCGTCGGTGATGGGGTTTTGGGCTGTAGGGGATTCCATTCGAGTTTCAGAACAACTCAGGGTGGCATGTCACTTAACATGGGTATAAAGTCACTTGCATTTTGCATACTTAAACTCTCTCATTACAGATAAATATCTAATGTCTTGTGGATTTTTGTTCATTTTCTGTTAGATGTCTCAACCACAATGATTATCCAACCTGGTCTTGTGCTTGATTTTCTTATGGCTAACCAACGTGTCAAGGATACTTTTTCAATCGACTGGACCAAGGTATTTAGAAAATTGCTGTTTTTCATGAGTTTGATTTTTGTAATCTTTAAAAATTCTCACCGTTTCCTTCAACAGGCAAGACGTGTTCTTAAGAACCTAAGGGTTAAAGTTGCCCCCTCGAACATGGAATATCGGATAACTGGCCTGTCTGAAAAGCCTTGCCGGGAACTGACGTATGACCATTTGTACTTTACTCTTGTTTTTGTTTTTTCGAGGTGAGATGTGTTTGTAATAAATCTTTGAATATCGTATTGTTACGTTGACTAGATTCGAACTAAAGCAGAAGCATTCCAAGAATGAAAATGGCGAGTTCGAAACCATGGAAGTGACTGTGTACGATTACTTCCTTAAACACCATCAAATAGAGTTGCGTGACTCTGCAGATTTGCCTTGCCTTAATGTTGGAAAGCCAAAGCGTCCTACCTATATTCCCCTCGAGGTTGCTTTCAAATCATTTCGTTATTGTACGAAGATTGTTTATCGTAATATATTTTTTATTCGGCGGAGATATATTTGCAGCTATGCGAGTTGGTGTCCCTTCAAAGGTACACCAAGGCACTGAACACCTTCCAAAGATCTGCCCTTGTGGAGAGATCAAGGCAAAAGCCGCAGGAGAGAATGAATGTCTTATCCAAAGTAAAGTTTGTCTCCTCGCTCTGCTCCATAGTTCATTTCCTTCATTTTTCAGCATTGAATTGATATATCAATGCTTGTTCAGGCTCTTAAGGTCAGTAACTATGGTACTGAACCTATTCTCCGTTCATGTGGCATTTCGATCAGCCCCAGCTTCATTCAGGTTGAGGGTCGTGTCCTGCCTGCTCCTAAGGTATGATAGTATATGATATATCTTGATTCTTGCTTATTTTCCGTATTCGGAAGCCATTATTCGGGAGTTAAGATATTGTTTTTCTTTGTGTGTTTAACAGTTGAAAACAGGAAAGGGCGATGAAATATTTCCCCGAAATGGTCGTTGGAACTTCAGCCATAAGGTGCCAGTGCTCTAAGCCTCTCTTCCTAATTCTGTCTAGAAAAGTCTGATTCCGTACTAAAGTGCCCTTCTCCAGAAATTTTTTGAGCCAGTCAAGATAGAGCGGTGGGCTGTCGTGAACTTTTCGGCCCGTTGTAATGTGCGTGGACTCGTCCAGGACTTAATCAGATGCGGGGAAATGAAAGGAATTGTAAGTGTTGTATATTTGGTTATTATCATATTTTAGTTTCCAGAATGTTATGTTAATAATGGGTTTCTATTTCAGTCCACAGAGCATTGCTGATCCTTTTGATGTGTTTGAAGAGAATCAACGATTTCGGAAGGCTCCTCCGATGGTTCGTGTTGAGAAAATGTTCGAAGAGGTCCAGTCCCGACTCCCGGGTGCTCCCCAGTTCCTCCTTTGTTTGCTCACTGAGAGGAAAAACTGTGAGATTTACGGTAGGTATTTTAAATCATGATCCTTAACATTCGCCGATCACAAATTTTGGATTTTTATTCGCTAAGTTTATCGGAAAATTTTAATCCTTCAGGTCCTTGGAAGAAGAAGAACCTCACTGAATTCGGTATTGTTACTCAGTGCATGGTTCCAATGCGTGTTAACGATAATTATCTTCTGAACTGTCTCATGAAAATCAACGCAAAGGTGATCTTTTCTCTAACTTATTCGATTCATAAACTAAAAATTTGTTTCATACGATTCTCACTATGTTTGTAATGATAACCACAGCTCGGTGGCCTGAACTCGCTGTTAACTGTAGAGCGTACTCCCGCTTTCCCGATAATCTCCAAGGTTCCCACCATTATACTCGGGATGGATGTTTCACACGGATCTCCCGGACAATCAGAAATCCCATCCATTGCAGCTGTAACTCTCGTTTATTCCTTACTATATATCCTTTTTGAATCGATTTCCCTGGAGTAATCCACTGTCCCGTTTTCATTCTATTTTATAGGTTGTTAGTTCAAGGGAGTGGCCGCTTATATCGAGATACAGAGCATCTGTACGATTACTCCCCCCTAAGGTTGAAATGATTGATTCCCTGTTCAAGAAAAGCTCGAATGGCGAGGATGAGGGGATAATCAGGTGCGAGTTCTTTTCCTCTACTGTGATTATTCGTAATTTTCTTACAAGTTCGTGTTTCGGGACCTTGAGCCATCATGACATGTCTCTTTCCTTCGATTGCAGGGAGCTGCTGTTGGATTTCTATACGAGCTCAGGTAAGAGAAAGCCAGAGCATATCATCATATTCAGGTAACTATCAGTTGTAACAGTTGTACGATTTAAGGAATGCTGAAGATTGTCTTAAATTCGATAACTTTTCTCATAATATATGGTAGGGACGGCGTGAGTGAGTCCCAATTCAACCAGGTTTTGAATGTCGAACTCGATCAGGTCATCGAGGTAAAAATTTCAATCTTTCGCATATACGATTTTTCGTATTTTCTTGACTTTTTTGTCTGTGGTCATCAACTTTTTTTAAAAAACTTTCATCAGGCGTGCAAGTATCTGGATGAAAAATGGAATCCGAAATTCCTAGTGATAGTTGCTCAGAAAAACCACCACACGAAATTCTTCCAACCAGGGTCCCCCGACAACGTCCCACCAGGCGAGTGCCCTACCTTCCTTCAAAGGCATCGGACATGTATAATATTCGCGACGTTAACCATCTAAGGGTGTTGATCCTTTTGCAGGGACGATAGTCGACACCAAAATATGTCACCCGAGGAATTACGACTTCTATCTATGCGCACAGGCCGGGATGATTGTAAGGCTTTACCCTATTATGACTTCTTTCTTGATTTTTTGGAGGTCTTTTGCCAAATCTGAGTGTGTGTTGTTGGATCAGGGCACTTCTCGGCCCACCCATTACCATGTCTTATATGACGAGATCGGCTTCTCGCCTGACGAAGTCCAGGAACTCGTTCACTCGCTTTCCTATGTGTATCAACGAAGCACCACCGCCATTTCTGTTGGTAATGGAAAGTTTTCCCCTCTGCAATGTTCCGTTGTTTTTGACGAGGATATTGACATACATTCTTGATTAATTCGATCTCTCGTTTCTGGAAAGTTTCTTATGAGATTTTCTGATCCGTGGGTTTGTATTAATTCGATCTCTCATTTCTTGCAGTCGCGCCAATATGCTATGCCCACTTGGCAGCTGCTCAGATCGGGACGTTCGTGAAGTTTGAGGATCGTTCCGAGACATCATCCAGCCATGGCGGCGGTTCCACTGCTTCTGGACAAGTTTCTGTCCCTCAGCTTCCTAAGCTGAAAGAAAGTGTCGCTAACTCCATGTTCTTCTGTTGAGGAAGCAGCAGAAGACATATGGCTTCCGTGCAAGAAAAAAAAAACTGTAAGAAACTCTCCTACCTCTTTTGTTTGGTGTACATACTGTTTTCTTAAACCCTTTTGGCTTCTCGTTTGGAATCCCCTGAACATGGTGGGTCTAAGCTTAGGCATATGCATTTATTCGGGCGATGCATTTTGTGGCCAAACTGACTCGTTTTCATCGCCCGATGTGCGTTTTTTTTTTGTATTTCCGCCCCGAGGGTTATACGTAACCCTTGGGTCTGAAAAAAAAAAGATGAGCTTTCGGGTTTAAAAAACAAACTGATGTGTTAGGAATTGACCCTGTCGTGTAAAGCTGCTGCTTCTCTGTGTTCATTGCTCTTTTTCTATTATATAGTAACATAACATCAGTGAAGGTTCCATAGATATCGAAAAAGAACGTAAAAAGAGATGCAAAAAACGCCGAGCATAAACCCGAAACCGTGAAAGTAAAAGAGGTAAAAGAAAGCTCCTAAGCGAAAAATAAGACGAACAGGATGAAGAAAGTTGCAGCCATTGTTGCAGTTGTGTAGGATTCGGGTCGAGGAGTTGTGGCTGGCGGTGTTGCAGGAGAAAGGATCGAGGGCGATGGCGGCGGCGGCGGTTGAGGCGGGAGGACGTTGACTGCGACCTTCATGCTGTTCTTACAGTAACCTCGGCCGCAGATGAAGTAATACGGCTTTGTCTGAACGAGCTGGAACACGTCACGTCCCCCTCTCGTCACGTTCGAGATGAAACCTGTCTCGATGCATTGCTCGTAAGCCGTCTGGTTCACTTGCAGCACGTTGTGCTTACTCCTATCGAACCCGAAATCTGTTTTCCGACAACAAAAAGGACAAGGTTACGACGAAACATCCTTCATCGTCGAAGCCATCTCGGTTTCAGAAATCGCTTACAGATCCAGTCGCCGACGATAAAACGTTCATGACTCGACCAGTCGGAGAAGTTAATGTCGGGCTTCCAAGTGTACTGGCCTCCTCCGACTCTGTGAAGGCTCGGCTCGACGGAAATCGCGTTCATCCACGTTATCGTTACGATCATCGGGACGTATAAATTCATCGACAAGTTTAACAGATTCTTCATTCTTTGTTTTGGTTCTTCGAATTCTTTGGTTCGGTTGAGAAATGGAGATTTGGGTGAGGGGAGGGTTTAGTAGAAACGGAGCATGAGTGTTGTATGAGTGTTTTGCCTCGCCATATTCTGCATGAACCCTAAACCCTAGAATTATTTTCAGTCACTATGTGCATGATTTAGGCTTTTTTTTTTTGGGTTCATTTGGTTTGGTTTTTATGGTCACGTGGAAATTTGTTTTTGGGGAACCATGGAAACTACGTCTTAAATAAATATATTACAGCTTTAGCCTTGGTGGGAAACATGGAAACTATACCTTAATTATACATATATTATAAGTAAGTATCCCTCTCAGAAAGTTTTGCAAAGTAAACGACTAGGGTTTAGGGTTTAGGGTTTAGGATTAAGTAACTTTTCGCCTTCCATCGCCTTTTCTTTCTACTCGTTGTTTTCACTGTTATTGGGGGGCGGGGGCTATAATAAGTATATATGCATATGAATGATTAGAGAGGTGTGCCTTTTGTGTCTGTATATATATATATAAGAGCAGAGAAGTGATCCGATGTTGTCTGTATACAAAAGCGTTAAGCAAATGGCATACATATATATATATATATAGCCAACACCCATAAATGCTTTACATTGATAAACTTGAACTGTATATTATTATTATTATTATAGATTATCGCATGATCATTCGACCGAATTATATTTGAGTATGTCTTGTTTCACAAAGACTAATATGATACGATGTATGGTAGTAGTATTAGTGTAATAAGAGAGAGAGAGAGAGACTTAGAGGATAAGACAACGTTGTTTGCGGCGACGGTTCTCTTCTTTGGGTTCGGAATTGTGGCGCTTCGCTGCTATCCTCTGCCGTCGTCTCCTGTATCCGCAACCGCAATTAATTTCTTGAAAAATAGTCAATCTAACTAGATTCGAACTAAAGCAGAAGCATTCCAAGAATGAAAATGGCGAGTTCGAAACCATGGAAGTGACTGTGTACGATTACTTCCTTAAACACCATCAAATAGAGTTGCGTGACTCTGCAGATTTGCCTTGCCTTAATGTTGGAAAGCCAAAGCGTCCTACCTATATTCCCCTCGAGGTTGCTTTCAAATCATTTCGTTATTGTACGAAGATTGTTTATCGTAATATATTTTTTATTCGGCGGAGATATATTTGCAGCTATGCGAGTTGGTGTCCCTTCAAAGGTACACCAAGGCACTGAACACCTTCCAAAGATCTGCCCTTGTGGAGAGATCAAGGCAAAAGCCGCAGGAGAGAATGAATGTCTTATCCAAAGTAAAGTTTGTCTCCTCGCTCTGCAATATTTTTGAAGTAATTATATCTTTCTAAATATCCACAATTTTCTTGATCCTTTTGACATGTTTATTTTTAATTTCTCCTTTTATTATTTTTAATTTATTTCAAAATTTCAATTCTAAATACTCTAATATCTAAATTCTAAGTCCTAAAATCTAACAATAAAATATTAAAATCTAAAATACACACCAATCTTCAAATAAAAAACCCTAAACTCTAATTTCTATACCCTAGAATTTAGAATTTATTATTTGTAATTTAGAATTTATTATTATATTTAGGATTTAAAGTTGGTTTAGAAATTAAGTTTAGGGTTTAGGGTTTAGGTTTAGAATTAGGTTAAAATAGGAATATTAAACTGAGAATAAGATGATTAAGATATTCCCAACGTGCAAGTAATCAGATTCTTTAAGCTGCGTATAGCGAGTGATCTTGGCAAAAATTTAGAATATTTTGTGAGACAAAAAAATATTCTTTTTGTCACTCGAATATTATATCGGAGAACAAAAAGACATGCTACTAGTTCATACCAGTTTCTTTTTTGTTATAAAAAAACAATAATTGGAGAACAAACGAATACCCTTTTCTGATAATGGAGACATGGCTAATTCTGCATATGCAAATGAGAACAGGGGGAAAATGATGATGAACAGAGAATTCAATGCACCAAGGAGCAGAAAGCGCGTGGTCATAACATCAAACAACTGCACGGATCAAGAAAAACGACGATGCAAACAATGAGAGAGAGAGTAAAGAGAAATGGGAGAGGTTTCCTCACTTTGCCATCATTACTTTGACAAACTCCTCGTAGTTGATCTGACCATCACCGTCAACGTCGGCTTCTCTGATCATCTCGTCCACTTCCTCGTCCGTTAGCTTCTCCCCGAGGTTCGTCATCACGTGACGGAGCTCCGCCGCGGAGATGAACCCGTTCTGGTCCTTGTCGAAAACCCTGAAGGCTTCCTTCAGCTCTTCCTCGGAATCGGTGTCTTTCATCTTACGTGCCATCAGGTTCAGGAACTCGGGGAAGTCTATGGTACCGTTACCGTCCGCGTCTACTTCGTGTATCATATCCTGGAGCTCCGCTTCTGTCGGGTTCTGCCCCAGTGACCGCATGACTGTCCCCAGCTCTTTAGTGGTGATGCATCCTGAAAACATTTTCAAGAACCTGGTGAGAAGCTGAAAAAATTGATGATTCCCACTTGCGGAGTAGAAGATCTTGAATTAAAGTTTCATAAAAATCATCCACATCTCCCGCACAACCACCTACTTGGGTTTGTAGGGTCGAACACATTCATTTCAGAAAATATATGATCACGCACTGCTCTAAAATTCGAGCCAAACATCCATAAAAGGTGAAAGCGATGATAATCTCATCCAGAAATGGAATGAGATTTCACAAGCCATATGGCTCAATCACGAAAATTGCAATATCTAAAGTCCAGGATTTCAGAATTGTTCGATGTCTAACATGGAGATAACGAAACGGCATAGCCACATGAGCCAGGTCATGCACACACAGACGACTGATATATTAGCATGATTTGTTTCAACGGTTCACTGAGTCCACATCCACCAAACATCTCCTAAACCTTCATATTCCCCGATTACGGTATCAATTCTGGAAACTCAACGCTTCTTTGTAGCCAAGCTGAAATAGTGAATATAGGAAGGACACAGAGCATTTGCACCCAGCATGAAACTAGAAATATTTCAAATCACCGATCATGTAACTCTGCAAGGTGACACATGTCCAAGAAATTCACCGATACTATGATTCTACAGATGAGGTATAACAACAGAAGATTAAATTTTAATCATAGAGCCAGAGAGCCGAAACTGTTATGCCAATCTCGTATACTTCCATTTCTAGGAAAAACAAGATTACCTCATATCGAACATAAATCACAGACAATCCATGAGAATCAAAATTTAAACCGACACAACCCGATTCAAAGAACCAAAAACGTGAAAACTCCACGAACATCATCCAAGTCTTCAACCACGTCGACAAAATTTGAACACAACGAAACGAACAGAGCTCAAAACCGAAAATATATTCAGGGATAAATTCGAGTGAACAGAGAAACATCAAACTGAGCATAATCGCAGATCATCACTGGAAAACAGACGACAGTTCGAAAAAACCGACGGACAGGAAAAAAATGGAAAGAAGGTGAGATCTGAGAGAAGAGAACCATCGCCATCCTTGTCGAAGAGGCTGAAAGCTTCCTTGAACTCGGAGATCTGTTCGTCGGTGAGCTGATCCGCCATTGCTGGGTTTTCTGGAGCTTTCCGATCGTAGACGAGGAAGAGAGACGTTATTTGAATATTTATGCGAACTGCGATGAACGTGGGAAGGAAGCTGTGTTGAATTATAAAGGGAGGGGGGAAAGGAGATAGGGCCCATTAAGGCCCATTAACGTATTTTTTTTCTTTTTAAAATAAAAGAAAATAAGAAATAAAAAGGAGAGGAGAAGGGAGAGGATCTAATGCTGTCCCCCCGAGTTTATATTCTTTGCGTCCACTTGGCGTTGTCCACGCTGATCTGTCACTTCCGCAAATGTTTATATCATATTTTGAGTTATTGGAATTCAAATATTTATTTTAGAGTTTGATTTCGTATGTATAGAATTTAGGAATGTGAATTTCGGAACTTTGAAAAAAAATATTTAGTATATCCACATTTTGTTTTGTCATTATTGGCCATCGATATTCTGGATCAAAATTTCTTTATTTTTATTTAGATATTAAAATTTCAAAAGATATGTTTGTAATATTTATAAAAAAAAAGTCGACGGCATTTTGGTTATTTATGAACGTAGATAAATTTTGTCCACTCTCAATTATTTATATTCATATAAACTTATAAAAATAATTTATCTTTAATTTAAATTATATAGCGACCGCCAATAGTGAGTGTTTTATATAAATCGTGTTATGTTTTTAATTATAACAAACAATATCACTAGATAGTTTAGAAATATTTTTTTATTAAAATATGTTATATTTATCAATACAAATATCGGATTAAATGGCTAGTTAGACAAAACGATGATTAATCGGGTTAGATGAAGATTGCTCAAGTCATATTCAAGCTGTGCAATCAATTAGTAGGTTAAATGATGATTAATTGTGATAATTAGCTTACTTTTTATATATTATATGATTGATATCTATTTTCTTAAATGCACACAAATATAAAAATTAGTGAATATAATGTGTTTTAATATTTTAATTAAACATAATAAGGATACATAAATACTGTTATGGCAAAAGAAAAGTATTCTCGGAAATTCCTTTTGAAAATAAAAATCTGTGCCTCCTAAATGTCAAAAAATAAAAATAGTCCCTCTAAATGGTGGGCTTATAACGGCCTAATAAACAATGGAACAAAATTTTATGAAGCCCAGAAAAAAGAGACACGTGACTCAAATACCCGGCTCGACCCGATTTCAAACCCGACCCGAAACCCGGATCCTTTGATAGTCACTAGAGAGAAGAGTGTTCTTATTTCTCTGGCTTGAGACCAAAGACAACCTTACTCCGATCTTGTGCTTTAAGACCCCGAAGAAGAAGGAGAAGAAGAAGTAAGATCAACGAAATGAGCAGCATTGGTACTGGATACGATCTCTCCGTCACGACCTTCTCTCCCGATGGTCGTGTTTTCCAGATCGAGTACGCCGCCAAAGCCGTCGACAACAGTGGGTCAGTTACCAATTCCATTTTCCTCTTCTTCTTGTTCTCGCTCTTCTGATTCTTTCTTCTGGGTTTCGTTTAGTCCGGATATGTCTGTCGGGTGGTAAATGGCGTTTAGGAGTCCTCGTCGCTCACGAATTAGGGTTTTTGCTGGGTTAAGTTTTGTTGTTTGTTCGGTGAAAGCTCATGGCTGTGAGTTTCTTGCAGAACTGTTGTTGGGATCAAGTGCAAGGACGGAATTGTCATGGTATGGTTCTTATTCCCATCCCTTTCCTTTATGTCTCAGTTTGTTCTTGGGGGGTTTTGAGTTGGGATTAGGGCACAACCATGATTCATGTAACCTTGAGCTTGTTTATCAGTCTTTTTGGACTTGGATTCTCTGAAGTACTGATTTTTCACCATGTGGGTTTTGTTTATATAACATTGAAATTCAGTATGATTGTTGTTTTAGTTTGTATCTCTTAGTTTGCAATTAGATAGAGTCTACTTTTCCATAATCTGAAGCAAATCGGTGTATTGTTTTCTTAACTCTTGGTGACCTATCTCTCAGATTTCCATCTTGATGATTTTTTCCCCACATATGTTTAATCAAGAGCTCTCTCCAATTAGTCATGAGAGTGGACTATGGAGAGGGGCAGTTTTCAAGACTTGATATACGGTTTTTCTTACTGAATTTTACTTTTGGGCTTATAGGGTGTGGAGAAGCTTATTGCATCAAAGATGATGCTACCGGGTTCCAACCGAAGAATCCACTCAGTTCATCGTCATGCTGGCATGGTATGCTTTTTTCCTCTTCCATATTCTTATCCCCTAAAAGTTAGTTTCTAAGATTACACATATTGTTGTAGGATATGTTCTTTACCGTGCTCATTGGTCTGGCTATGTATCTGCTTCAATTCATTGTGTTGATTATTGCTCTGTGTTTCTTATATCAGGCTGTTGCCGGATTAGCAGCTGATGGAAGGCAAATTGTTGCACGGGCTAAATCTGAAGCGACAAATTACGAGAGGTGCCACTGAAAGCATTTTGACTTTTTGAATTACTCATTTCATCAGCCAAGATTAAAACTTTGCATGAATTTTCCACGTGATCGGGATGCACGCATTTTTGAAATATCTTGAAGTCAATCTACTCTACCAGGGTCAGTGAAACAAACCTGATCCATCATAAGTGTTTGATCAGATTCGATATAAGACAAATGATTAGGTTAAGAAACGGATCAGTTGATGATGTTCTGCTGTGGAGGGTAGTTGGTGACTCTGATTTATATGGCTTACTGTGGATAGAAGATTTCATCAACGTATCTTCAACTTTTGAAATATCATATCTTCAACTTTGTTTTTTTCAATTGATTTCTATGAGCTACTTTTTCTGGTTATGTGGCATCACTTTGGAAGACTGCTATAGTGCTATTACATATCTCAGGACTTACACATCAGAGTTTTTTTTTTGCTTATAATGGGGTATAAAAATGTTTCACCACCTTGGTCTTAAATTGGGATGTTGATGCCATCATGCCATGTGATATCCATTTGTATGCTCTCCCTATGCTCCAGCTTGTTTTGACATAATTAGATTGTTCATTGATTATGCAAATCTTCCTCCTTTTGTCTCCGTGGCAAATTAGTGTCTATGGTGAAGCCATACCCTTGAAGGAACTTTCTGATCGAGTTGCGAGTTATGTACATTTATGCACCCTATATTGGTGGCTCAGGTTGTAACAACTCCCTTTCTTCTTTACTCATCACTGCTCTCTTTTGTTCTTGAGTGAATGGCTAACTGATTGGTTTTGATTTTGAAGGCCCTTTGGCTGTGGGGTCATTCTTGGAGGTTATGATAGAGATGGACCTCAATTGTACATGGTTGAGCCATCAGGCGTCTCATATGTAAGTTCATTCTGCTAATAGTAGCCGGGCTTCAAATGGGATGTCTGCAAATTTTAACAGTGGACATAATGCTCAATGTTCTCATTTGGATCATTTTCCTTCAGAGATATTTTGGCGCGGCAATCGGGAAAGGAAAGCAAGCTGCTAAGACGTAAGTTGGTTTCTCATACATACACTTCAAACCCTGTTCATAAAATTATGGTATTAGTTAGGATGCAAATTTGGTAGACGTCTGATGTTTCAGAAGTATCTTTAATCCAATCTGCTCCACAGTCGAGAAATCGGTGACACAAACTTGATCCATCAATAGTGTCTGATCAACTCTAATACAAGAAAAATGCATTTGTTTTAAAACGGGTCAGTTGATATTCTGTGGTGGACGGTATTTAGTGACCCTGTTTTATTTTTTTCAAATGAGCTGTTGTCTTGCATGTCAAATGGCAGTTTCTAAATCTGAATTTTGAAAAATCACGGTTAATGTCTCAGAATTCAGCCCCATCTGGAACTTGAGGCATTCCGGACATCCAAGCGCTTTGTTTGAATCACTGTTTAATTTGTTTCTTTGCACTTCTCATTCCTCTCTTTTCCCCCAATATGCTTTTGTTACTGGTATAAATCATGCAACCAAGCATTCTATATCAAAGAGACTGTATAAAAATTGCCGAAAAGCCAAGGCCTAATCTAACTATTTTGTCGACCGACGGTTTTCTTCTTCTACAGGGAAATAGAGAAGTTGAAGCTTTCCGAGATGACGTGCAGGGAAGGCGTAGTTGAGGTGGCCAAAATGTGAGTATTGCCTCGGATATGTCAAGTGTTTTCAGTACACTTATCCTGCGAATTTACTGTCATTCAGAGCTGAAAAAAGCTTGCGATTTCGTGCAGGCCCGCCCATGTCACTGCATCTTCGTGTTTTGTGCTTCATATTAATGTATAAGCAAAGATCTAATTTCATGTTTCTAAATGCAGAATATACAAGCTGCACGATGAAGCCAAGGATAAAGCTTTTGAATTGGAGATGAGTTGGATATGTGACGAGTCAAAACGAGAACATCAGAAGGTAATCATTGCTCTGTAAAATTCACCAACTTATGGTAATTAGACGGAGATTAGCACATAAACGTTGGAACCTGGGATTTAGATTGGTAATGACAACTGATCCAAGGTTTGCACACAACAAATATTGACATAAGAAGATAATTGCTAACCCATATGAACTCCGATATCGGTTGATATATGGAACACTAAGACCCTGAACTCGTTTTTGTCCCCCGAAAAATAGATCAGCACAAAAAGTATTTGAGATTGGAATGTAAATGATACCAATGGGGTAACGTTTTCTTTTCGTTATAATCCAGATCGAGTATGTGTAACAATAGAGTTGATCCCAGGGCTCTTCGGGTATTTTTTTGGTTCACTTTCCCGTTGTCAGGTTCCAGAAGAGCTCCTAGAAGAAGCTAAGGCTGCAGCCAAAACCGCACTTGAAGAGATGGATGCTGACTGAACCGAGAGTGGTTATGTTTGTTTAATCTGAAAAGAAAGAAAAACAGACGCATGCTTTTGTTTTGTTTGTAACTTTGAATGTCTTTTGCAGGGTTTATGTTGTTATAGACAGTTGTTGAAGTTTGTGTTAAGGTTTGAGAGTCCGACATCTTTGTTTTTGTTTTTATATGGTTTCATTGAAAATTGAATTTATATGCAATCTGATTCAATTAAAAATCGGTGTAAATTGAAACGTTTCTAATATTTATAATAAAAAACAGTTTATTATAACGAATATCCAACACAGACTTTTGTAATTTTTTTTTTATCAAAAACGTTTTTAAAATATTTATATTTATGTTTTGTTTATCCAAAAAAAATATTTATGTTTTGAATCTTGCTGATGTATACACAAAAAAAAAAAGAAGCTTTTTTGTTTGTTCGCTTGGGCCAATATCAAATCACGGCTTCTAGTAAAAGCCCGTCTGTGCCGGCAATCAAAGAACAATAGAAGAGTAACGAGAAGATCCTTCCGAACCCAGATTTCTCCTCCTCCTCCTCCTCCTGCCCTAATCTCGAGCATCTCCTCCGTCGTGGTTCGTCGGCGTCTGGCTTCTGCTCCGACTTCTCCGGAGGTTTCTGGGTTCATCGCCGGATTCTCGAAGCTCCATCCTCTGTCCCGTTTCGGCTGGCCGTTTCGTTTGAACATTTGCAATGGCTTCAGGTCTTACTTCCGTCTTTAGATTTTGATCTCTTCATCGTGTTATGGATGATTTGGGTTTTCAGATTTCTGGATATTACTCATGTTGGCTTCGTTTGTTAGGTTTTTTGTTGTTGTTGTTGTTACGGAAATGCTTTAGATGGGGTTTTCGAACTTGATTTTGGTGTGGGCAGATGCCGATATGGAGGATTATGGATTTGAATACTCCGATGAGGAACCGGAGGAACAGGACGTTGACATTGAGAACCAGTACTACAACTCCAAAGGTGCTCCCTTACCAATATTCTTTGTTTCTTTCAACTTTTCAATAGGATATAATATTTTATTTGCATCATTGTTTGGTTTGAATCCCCAGTTTCTCTTGCAAATGGCATTTTTCCTTGTTCAAAGTGATGATGTAAATGTACTGATAGGGTTTGTCTCTTTCTCTTAAGGTCTTGTTGAGACTGACCCAGAAGCTGCACTTTCTGGCTTTGCTGAAGTTGTTCGGATGGAACCGCAAAAGGCCGAATGGTGAGTACCATTGGACAGTGAGAGGTTGACCAAGTTTAGTTGATCAACTCTTCTGTTTGCTGTGGCATGAGAGGATAGTTAGCATCATGACATTGTGCTCGGTATATATATTGTCTATATGTATGTTTGAATTTTACGACATTAGTTTAGAAAGAGTTTTTGTGCTTTGTTAAAGTTTCATTACCTAATTTGAACAGGTAGACTCATATCTTGTTTGCGACTTCTTGAATCGAAATCGATGGGAGATGCCTCATGTTGAGATGAAATTTAGGGTTTTCCAGGATTATTAATTATCCTTTCTTTGATTATATACTCCGTCGTTACCTGTGAGATTTTGGTGGCTTATGGCAAGTTAATTTTGCCTTCCGCAAGTTCGAATTCAGTGGTTTATGTCTTGTCGGGTTGCTTTCTGAAAAATTTGTTGTCACAATATTGCTTTTTTCTTTGGATTCATTGTCTTTGATTCTCTTGTCCTTGACCCTTTGAATATTTTTACTTGAATTTTATTTTCTTATACACAACTACCTCCTTTTTGTTGTCAGGGGTTTTAAAGCGCTAAAGCAGACTGTAAAGCTTTACTATCGCCTGGGTAAATACAAAGAAATGATGGAAGCATATAGAGAGATGCTTACATACATCAAATCGGCAGTGACCCGTAATTACAGCGAGAAATGTATAAACAATATTATGGATTTTGTCTCTGGGTCTGCGAGCCAGAACTTTGGTCTGCTGCAAGAGTTTTATCAAACCACTTTGAAAGCCCTTGAAGAGGCAAAGAATGAGGTCTGGAAACTATTTTCTTTCTGTATCAGCTACTGCGCCTTGTCCTCAATTCAGTGATGTGATATGTTGCTTTCTTTCCATTGCAGAGACTTTGGTTCAAAACAAATCTTAAGCTCTGCAAGATCTGGTTTGATATGGGTGAATATGGACGAATGAGTAAGGTATTCATGTTTTGATCAAATATAACAGCAGCTCATCCTGGTTCACAGTTCTTGCTATGCATTAACAACAATTACTGTTGACCAGATCCTGAAGGAGCTCCATAAATCTTGTCAAAAAGAAGATGGCACAGATGATCAGAAGAAAGGAAGTCAGCTTCTTGAGGTTTACGCAATTGAAATTCAAATGTACACTGAAACAAAGAACAACAAGAAGCTTAAGGTTAGGATTTCCTGCTATTTTTGGCAAAAATCTTTCATGCAAAAATTTATGTTGAGATTCTTTGATGTCAGACTTTTCTCTAACTTGTCATTTGCCTTCTCTGACTAAGTTGTAACCCTTTGAAATAATGCAGCAATTGTACCAGAAAGCACTTGCCATCAAATCAGCTATACCTCATCCTAGGATCATGGGCATAATCCGTGAATGTGGTGGAAAAATGCACATGGCAGAACGTCAGTGGGCAGAAGCAGCCACCGACTTCTTTGAGGCATTTAAGAATTATGATGAAGCTGGCAACCAGAGACGTATACAATGTCTGAAGTATGTTTTTTATATCCTCTCATCTCTTCCGCGTTCCTGATCAAATCAAATGCCCTCTGGTCTGATTTTTTATGAATAATGGCAGAGTAAACTGACTGTGTTTACTTAGATTTTAGGTCTAAACATGGCAAAACCTTATTGCTTGGATTTGACTTTGAGAAATACCAACTTGCTTTTGGCATTCC